AAACCCTAAACCCTAAACCCTTAACCCTAAACCCTAAACCCTAATCCCTAAACCCTAATTCCTAAACCCTAAACCCTAAACCCTAAACCCTAAACCCTAAACCCTAAACCGAACATCAGGGGAGTCATACTCGGACCCCTGAGGATGCACCCCCTGAGAGGTTTCTTTTCATGGGGTCCCCTTATATTCCCCTCTTAGAGGATCTTTAAAAAGGGTCCCCAAACCCAAGGGTACAACCTTAGGGGTCCAAGGTAGAATTTGACAACCCGAAACTGGCCCTGAATCACAACTGACAACCCTGAAGCCTCAACCCTATAAACCCTAAACCCTAATTAACCCTAAACCCTGATCCCAGACATCCGGAGGTGAACCTAACTTCAGAACCTAGGAATAAAAGGGTACCCTTTCTGGTTCTAAGTGGATTATGAGGGAACCCCAACCCTAAACAAACGAAATAGGGGCCCACTCCGGGTTCCTAGTAGAGATTGGAGTGCGTTCTCCTGCTGCCTACCTCTGAGAAGTATGGCACCGTTCGCTGGGATGACAGGTTGCGGGGTTGGGATGAAAAAGTTATGGGGTTTACGGTTTAGGTCTTCTTGGGTCTACAAATGAGGGCTTAGGGAGTAGAAGCCTTAAACCCGAACCCTAAACCCTAAACCCTAAACCCTAAACCCTAAACCCTGCACATCCTGAACATGCCGGAAACGCCGTGTGCTCGTCCCACTGCGAGTTGGGGATCCGCTGGTCGTACGAAAACCTGCAGGGACACTTCTTCCTTATGGTATGGTTTAGGGTTTAGGGTTTAGGGTTTAGGGCTTAGGGCTTAGGGCTTAGGGCTTAGGGCTTAGGGCTTAGGGTTTAGGGTTTAGGGTTTAGGGTTTAGGGTTTAGGGTTTAGGGTTTAGGGTTTAGGGTTTAGGGTTTAGGGCTTAGGGCTTAGGGCTTAGGGTTTTAAGAATTAAAACAGGCACTTCTTCCTGTGGATGTTTGTTAAAATTTAAACGGGGAGTTCTTCTTGTGGATCAGTTGTAAAAAAAATCTAGACGGGGCATCGTGACTACAGTAGCCACATTCTGAAAGGGCACCCTTGTTGGGGTTGGTTCCTCGATACGGGAACCTTGAACCAAAAAAAAAAGTAAAGGGTACTACTGGGCTACCTAGCTGTTCAACCAAGAAGCACGTAGAGGCCTAGGCCGTATCCGACACGCCCCTTGCAGATGATCGACCGCGCGTGGCCGCACGAAGCCTGATTCTGCAAAGCCCCAAGCCCTAAAGCCCCAAACCCTGAAGCCCTAAACTCTAAACCAAACCCTAAACCCTAAACCCTGAACCCTGAAACCCCAAACCCTACCCCGGAAACCCCGAACCCGATAGAACCCCAACTAAGGAGACAAGCCGGTAGAACCAAAAGAGGATAAGGAGCTTCTATGTCCCAGAAAGGGATGTTAATCTTAAAGGCTTTACCTAACTCAGCACCAAAGCGCTAGACCCCAGACCCCAAAGCCCGAACTTGGACCAACGCCCACAACATCTTGAAAAAACTTCCTCAAGCCAAAGCCTGAACCCTAAACCCTAAACCCTAAACCCTAACCCTAAACCCTAAACCCTAAACCCTAAACCCTAAACCCTAAACCCTAGACCCTAGACCCTAGACCCTAAACCCTAAACCCTGAACCTAAACTAAAGCCTCAAGATCCTGAAAAAGCTTCCCAAGCCGGACTCCTCAACTGCTCCCGGCCGGGGTTGGGGCTTAGGGTTTAGGCCTTTGGGTTGGTTTAGGTAAACCCTACACCCTAGATCATAAAGCGGGTGGTTTAGGGTACCTATAGGGTACTGAGGGTTTATAGGGTATCTGAATAGGGCGGTAGCACTGGTGTAAGGCTGAGGGTTCGGGGTTGTTAGGGCTTATGGCTCAGGATACCTGATTCCTGAGTTCCTCCTTCAGAGTCGGGGGCTCAGGGAGGAATATGCCCTGATTCCTCCCCAAAAAGCAGCCGTATTTTTTTTGGGTTCTATAGTAAGGCTTTAAGGAGGGGCCGCAGAGACACTAAAAATGATGGCCAGAACCAACCCAGGACAGCCTTGACAGGCTCGAAACGGCTCTATGAGTAAAACCCAAATAGGGTTTAGGGTCTAGGGTTTAGGGTTGTCTAGGGTTTAGGGTTTAGGGTTTAGGGTTTAGGGTTTAGGGTTTAGGGTTTAGGGTTTAGGGTTTAGGGTTTAGGGTTTAGGGGTTAGGGTTTAGGGTTTAGGGTTTAGGGTTTAGGGTTTAGGGTTTAGGGTTTAGGGTTTAGGGTTTAGGGTAAAGCCTAAACCCTTCTTGCACCGGGCTGCTACATCCGTCGGGCCACACTTGCGAACGCAAAGAGTGCGGGTTAGGTCGATGAGCTTTGCGATGAGCCTCTTCTTGTCACCTCAGGGTTTAGGGTTTAGGGTTTAGGGTTTGGGGTTTAGGGTTTAGGGGTTTAGGGGTTTAGGGTTTAGGGTTTAGGGTTTAGGGTTTAGGGGTTTAGGGTTTAGGGGTTAGGGTAAAGAGTAAAGGGTAAAGGGTAAAAAACACCCTACCTGCGAGTACCGCGGAGGTTTGGGGTTTGGGGTTTAGGGTTTGGGGTTCCTAGCCCGGGATTTCAGCTTGTCGACACCTCTAGGGCTTGCTGGCTTCCAGTCGAGGAGTTGTCGGGTTTAGGGCGCTAAACCCTAAACCCTAAACCCTAAACCGTAAACCCTAAACCCTAAACCCCAAACCCTAAACCCTAAACCCTAAGCCCTAATTAGGGTCCCATAGTCCCTTCTTTAGGGCTTCTGAAGCCCTATGTGGGATAAAGGGCCTGATTAGGGCATTTTGAGGTTCTTACACCCCTCCCTTCCACCCCCTCGGTTCTTATGAACCGTGACGAACGCCAGCTAAAAACCCCGAACCTGGCGTAATGGCTTATAAGTAATTGCAGCCATTGCTGTCATGGATGAGTTCGAACTACCCAGGCCCTCCAAGTAAACCCCTTCACCCGCAAACCCTAAACCCGACACCCTAAACCCTAAACCCTAAACCCTAAACCCTAAACCCTAAACCCTAAACCCCAAACCCCTAAACCCTAAACCCTAAACCGCAAAGCGGGCCTCCATGAGCTTCCGCCACGAGGTCTTGAAACTCCGAACGTCTCTCAGGTCGCACGCTGGCCCGCAGAGCTCTCTGCATGGCTCAGGATCCCTCTGACTCAAAAGGGGGTTTGGGTTTCGGGATTAGGGTTTAGGGTTTAGGGTTTAGGGGACTCAAAGGCGTTTCAGGGGTCGGGTTTGAGGGCGGCGTTTCTGTGTCAGACCCCCCAGACCCTAACAAGAACCCTAAACCCCCCAAACTCCCCCCAAGAAAACCTTGACTATCTCTAACTCCTAAACCCCAACTCCTAAACCCTAAACCCTAAACCCTAAACTCCTAAACCTCAAAGTCATGAAGATGTCAACTCTCCGGTGTGTGGCTTCCATGCTGCGCTTTTGTGACGCCTTTGCCTCTTCAGCCAAGAAAGCCGGGCTGCGGAGCTTCGGGTTCGGGGGTTTAGGGTTTAGGGTTTGGGGTTCAGGGTTTAGGGTTTAGGGTTTAGGGTTTAGGGTTTAGGGTTTGAGGTTTAGGGTTTAGGGTTTTGGGACTGGGGTTTGGGGTGTAGGGCTTGGGGTTCAGGGTTTAGGGTTTGGTTTAGGGCTCGGGGGTTGGGGACGTAGGGTTTCGTGGTGCCTACAGGCCTTAGGTTTGTCAACCTCCCGAAGCCAACTAAGCTCTATGATTCAGAAACTTCTGGAACCCCGAACTCCCTCATGCCTGATTTACCTGCCTTGAAGTAGAAGCCTCGCAGCCCAAACTCCAAAACCCAAATGGTTTGGGTTTTTAAGGGGAATTGCAAATCCCATACCCCTAAACCCCTAAACCCCCAAACGCTAAACCCCTAAAGCCCAAGCCCCAAACCCCTCGTGCGCGCTTGTGACAGCTTGCTTTGGCTCGAGGACGCAGGGCTGATGTTTTCAGGGGCTTTGGGATTTAGGGTTTGGGGTTTACGGTTTGGGGCTTCGGGTTTAGTGCTTGAGGTTTAGGGTTTAGGTTCAGGGCTTAGGGTTTATGAGAACCACGTAAGCCCGATCGAGTATTGGGTACCTGCTTGTGCTTTTTTGGGTCAAGATGCTATAACAAAGAAGCCGGTGCAGGGTTGAAGAGCTGTAGGCCGTAAGGGTAGATGATGTCGCGTGGGTTATGTCTCTGATGGCTTTTGGGGTTTAGGGTTTAAGGCTTAGGGTCTACTATCCTCCCCTTAGAACCTTAATACAAATATTACTTTAAATACCCTGGTGGGTTTTATATGAACAAAAATTAAAAAATATTCCCCTGGAGGGTATCGTCTAGGGTTTGGGGTTTGGGTCTGGTCGTGGGTCTGGGCCTTACGATCAAGGCAAATCGTGTATCTCCCTGAGCATCCTCGTCCATCAGCAGCCTCCGCAACACCCTCTCCCACCAATAGCACCACAGAGCCCAAAAGTACACAGAAAATGAAAAGAAAAAACACACACACATAGACTTATATAGACTAAAGGACACTTACACTATCCACACACCCACGCCCACACCCACACCCACTCCCACCCCACTGCCAGAGCCACAACCACAACCACGAACGCATACACGCGCGCGCACGCGCACGCGCGTGTACGCACCCCAGCAAAAACTGAAGTCAAAAAAGCCTCAAGAAACCTAAAGCCCTGATTCAGGAACACAACGCCCCGAAAACCGTAATTGCTCTGGAACCCGCAACCTGAAACACAGAATATCCGGGTAGTGAAGGTGGGGGGCTAGGCACTACCTAGAATAGGGTCCCTTATAATTATAATCATAATTGTCATTATTCATATCATTATTATTACTATTATTATTATTGTTTCAAATATTATTATTATTGAAATAATAATACTTCTTCTTCTTATTATTATTATATATATATATAAGCCAGCTGACCACGCCTGATTGGGGCATCTCCACATCTACGTCGTACATGAGCGTGAACCTCCACTTGACACCGTGGAGTTGAGGGTTTAGGGTTTAGGGTTTGGGGTTTAGGGTTTAGGGTTTAGGGTTTAGGGTTTCGGGTTTCGGGTTTAAGTGGCGAAGACTTAGAAACAACCGACACGTCGTGGGAGGGTTTGGGACTTCGGGTTGTTGTGCTTCTTCTTATTCTTCTTTTACATAGAACTTATACTTTGATTAAGAAATAGAGGGATCAGGGACGTTTGGGTTTGGGGGGGATAATATGATCATTCCTAATGTCATTTTATCTCTCTTTTCTTGCACGGTTTCGGGTTTGGTGGCATGCTTTGAGGTTGTGGGGTTTGGGGGTTCGTTTCTTGTGGGGCTTGTCTCGGGCCCAAGGTAAGCCCTGCATGGGGGAGCCCTTACTTATAGAGCCCCCCAAGCCCTACACAAAGCCCGTCACGGGACCCAGACCCCGGGACCATGTAATACCCCTCCAAGAAGCTTCTCCTATCAAGCCCTCAGGGCTTAGGCTTTTGCTCAGCCACCCTAAACCCTAAACCCTAAACCCTAAGACCCAGGTTTGGGGTCTGGGTTTGGGAGTTTGGGGTTTGGGGGTTCGGGTGGTCCATCCTAAGCCTTACCCGTGTAAGGGGACACTGCTTTACAACAGGCCTCGCTGCCCAGTTCTTGGATACATTCTGGCTCGAAAAATCTGCGAGCCCATAGTATCATCCCTAAACCCCAAGACCTCATCACCCTCACCACCCTAATGCCCACATGTAGGGAAATCGCCCTGATCTCTAAACCCTAAACACCCTCATCCCTTAAACCGTAATCCCTGATGAGGAATCACTCTTAAACACTAAACCCGAAACCCTTATCACCATAATCACCCTAAACCCAAATCACTCTAATCCCTAATCCCTAATCCCTAATCCCTAATCCCTAATCCCTAATCCCTGTTCCTAAACGCTAAACCCTAAACCCTAAACCCTAAACCTTAAACCCTAAACCCTAAACCCTAAACCCTAAACCCAAAGTAGAGAACCTGCCATGTGCAGTCCCAGGTCACTCCGACGGCCGAATCTCGACGACCGAGTTGGCCAAGGGAAGCCTCTGCGACTCAGCGGAGCGGGCAGAAGCCACTCCGGCCCCAAACTCCTTATGGCCCTAAACCCTAAACCCTAACCCTAAACCCTAAACCCTAAACCCCAAACCCTAAACCCTAAACCCTAAACCCTAAACCCTAAATCCCTAAACTAGGCGGGTCTGTTCTCGTACCCTCGATTTCGGGAGGGTGTTGGTCTAGCTCATGCGTTGATGCCCACTCTGGAACACTAGACAATTACTGGAAACAACTCCAGCCCTAGGGGGGTCCAACGTACGGCGTACCCATATAGTACATACTTTGGCCCTAAAGCGACTGTATAGGAACCCCTTTCAGGCTCAAGCAAATACGATAAATGTACATGGACCCTGTGGGCAGGAAGCCATCCCTGTCCACGTCCGCTACAGAGCCAGAGGCCAATCCGAATATCATGCAGTACTTCTACTTCAAGGATCAAGGGACCTAGTAAGTGGCAAGTGGGCTTAAATGTAGGGCAACTATACATATAATTACTTGCAAGCCCACTTAAGCTACCTCTGACCCTGCTTACTAAGAGCCCCGATCAAGTCCAAACGAGGTTGCATCACTTGGGACACGCGCATGCAATGAGAGTCCAGCTGGGACAGGTGCTTACAAAAAGCAGCGATTCAAGTAACGAATGGGGGCGTCCGCAGTCTTATACAAGCCCAGTCCTTGAATCCCCAAAAAAGGACACCCAATATGTACACTCACCAACATGAAAAAAGGAACCTTATACACACTCACCTATAACAGTGATACAAACCCTGCTTCATATAGGGTTGAGGACAAGGGCTTGGGAGGCATTTCCTTCCTCTACGGTTTAGGGTTTAGGGTTTAGGGTTTAGGGTTTAGGGTTTAGGGTTTAGGGTTTAGGGTTTAGGGTTTAGGGTTTAGGGTTTAGGGTTTAGGGTTTAGGGTTTAGGGTTTAGGGTTTAGGGTTTAGGGTTTAGGGTTTAGGGTTTAGGGTTTAGGGTTTAGGGTTTAGGGTTTAGGGTAGTTCCCTGATCCCCGACACCAGTCGGACCAAGTACCTGCTCTTTGCCGTTGTGCAATGTGAATGTCCGAACGTTCCAAGCCACTGAACTCATCCAACCGACAAAAGGGTTTGTTAGGGTTTAGGGTTTAGGATTTAGGGTTTAGGGTGTTGGGTTTAGGGTTTAGGGTTCAGGGTTACAAGGTTTCGGGTTTGATGGCAACCATGGAGCGTGATCGAGAGCGAAGGCGCCGGTACACCTGGCAGGAGGACTGCTACTCAACAGGTACAGCGGTTTAGGGTGTAGGGTTTAAGGTTTAGGGTTTAGGGTTTAGGGTTTAGGGTGTAGGGTTTAGGGTGTAGGGTGTAGGGTGTAGGGTTTAGGGTTTAGGGTTTAGGGTTTAGGGTTTAGGGTTTAGGGTTTAGGGTTTAGGGTTTAGGGTTTAGGGTTTAGGGTTTAGGGTTTAGGGTTTAGGGTTTAGTGATTTTGGCGTGACCTACCGTGACCATGCCTATAGGAATCAAAGAGAGATAGAGAGAGAGGGAGGTGTTCACTCACGCTGGAAATGTCTACTTATCTACATTAGGGTCCCTTTTCGGGTCCTATATAGTATGGCACCCTGCAGCCGATTACCAACATGCGCACTGTACTGGCTGTTGGCGTGTGCACATCGACAGACCTTGAAACAAACCGTGCCCCGTGCGGGTTCAACGCCAGCTTGGCCCCGACGCAAGAAGTACGTACGAGCCACCACAGATGTGGACGGGAACGGTGCCCGACGCTGTCCAGGCACCGTCCTGTCCACCGACGGTGTTGGTTGATATTGGATAGCCCTGCAGCTCGGCGAAGCGCCAGAGAAACAAGCAGAAGGGACTCTAGTTTAGAGAACTGCCTCTTCTGGGTACAGGTATCCCTCTCAGGGTGCTACACATCCTGCAGACCTGTAGAATGCATCCAAAACTTTCCAAAGATGAAAACCCGTAAACCCTAAACCGTAACCCTGAACCCTAAACCCAAAACCCTAAACCGGGTAATGGAGAAATAGTGCGTATAGCCGATGTTGGCAGCGAGTCTTCACAACATGTGTGCTTCTACTGTATACGGACATATTGGGGGCTCACGAAAATACGGGAGCACTAATATGGACCCTCAAATTGGCCCTCAAATAGTAACATTCCCTTATACCAAGGACCCCGACAGGGTACCCCCTACTATCGGAAACCCTAAACCCTAAACCCCTAATTCCGAAAACCCCGTATCTGTGGGGGCGGACGGGAGGGGGTCATCTAAACTCCTCCCAACCCCATCCCTAAACCCTAAACCCTAAACCCTAAACCCTAAACCCTAAACCCTAAACCCTAAACCCTAAACCCCAAACCCCTAAACCCCTAAACCCTAAACCCTGTGAATCTGAGGCCGGGGGTGCTCCAGGTTGTTGCCGGCTCCAGGCTCTCAGCCACCGGCGATGCAGCGGAGGACTCCGAACAAAGCTCCTCTGCCCGGCACCCTTTGTGATTGCATTGGTTTCGGGGGTTTAGGGTTTGGGGTTTAGGGTTTGGGGTTTGGGGTTTGGGGTTTAGGGCTAGGGTGTAGGGATGGGGTCTAGGGTTGAGGGTTGGGATTGGGACTTGAGGGCTTAGGTTGGTCTATAAGGATCCTAAGAGGCTGACTGAGGGCACGCCTGGCTTCAAGACCCCAACGAACATCGCAGCCGTAGCCAGAGTTGTCACTATCATTAGCAGCCGCTTGTCGTCCATTGAGGGTTTAGGGTTCCCCTAAACCCTGAACCCTGCACCCGCAAAACTCCCTATAAATCCTAAACTAGGAATTCAGGGCATGCGGGTTGGGTCGTGACGGATGCATAACTTGGTGGTGACCTCGAGCTAGGATTTAAGGTGTAGGGTTTAGAGTGGGGGGGGGACGGATCTGTGCTCTATACCTGGAGGTTTATGGTGCTTATTTTCCAAATTGTCAATGATAACGGCACTCGTAACCCACTTAAAAGCCCCCTCAAGTGCCATAGTATGGTTGAAACTTGGGAGATCTGTAGATACAGCTTTAATCGGCGAGTTAGTAAACCACCAAGTGTAGGCTTTCAGGTTCCGGGCTGACGTTGCGTGAGAAGCTTTCGAATTGTCCTGCACGGTGGCATGGTAGGAGGTGTTCTCATCTAGCCCATAGGCGAGGCATGAAGTCGTTTCCTTGACAGCAGACGGTGTTGCTAAAATCCGAAGCCCTCAACCCCAAACCCTAAACCGGAGCCCCAAGTCCCCTAGGCCGGCTCTCCCGGAAGCCCCTAGCATTTAGGGCGTAGGCTTTGGGGTCTTGGGGCTTAGGGTGTAGGGCTTGGGTTTTTGGGTTAGGGTTCCCCCCAAACCCGAACTAAACCCCAAAGTAACCTAGGAATGAGAGGGTTTATTTGTTTGGCCCCCGCCCCAACTAGGAAAAAAATACCGGGCCCAGGGAGTCTGAACCATGACAAAAGGAGAACAAGGGCTTTCTCTGAGTCCTAGCGAATTAGCCTAGACCCAGGAGTCATCTCGGAATATAAGGGTACCCTCTTTGAATTTGAGGGAACCCCAACCCTTACAAAATAAAATAGGGGCCTATGCCAGGTAACCTACAAGCCCTCAACCAGCAAAGCCCGAAGCCCTGAGCCCTGTATGCACTGTGAAACCCTGGCGAGACCTACTGGTACACATTGCTGCATCCTATGAGGTCCTCTTTGACCCTACAAGCCACAATTGCCTACGAACCCTATGCCGCTCCCAAAGAAACTCATCCGAAGCTCTACACCCTGAGTCCTAAACTTACTGGCTCTTAGTAGGGAACTCGACCAGTAGGCTACCTACATACTCCCTTCAGACAGGACAAAAGTAGGCGAACTATGGCTCTAACGTACCCGGTTCCCGAATTCCTGAAACCGAAAACCTAAGCCCTGCTACTAACAAAGCACACCACAGGGAATTAAAACGCTTGGGCCTCAAAGGTACCTCCTATGTACGTACTCTGGGGGCCCAGGTATATAACCATGAGCTACATGGACCAGCCCAGTACCCAGATTATTATAAGAGCACCCATTTTGGGGTTATCAACTATATAGTAAGGGAACCCAAACCCCAAAAAAGGGTAAAGGGTACCACTGGGCTACCAAGTTAAGCTCGGGTTTATAGAACCCTAAACCCTAAACCCTAAACACTAAACCCTAAACCCTAAACCCTCAACCCTAAACCCTACATGGACCCTTAGGGTAAGCTTTGTACCTTCCGAGGCACCCTGGTGAGGCCGCTGCAGCCCGCCACCGCGCTTGCAGAGCCCGACCCCACGCGGAGCCGCACGTCCCAGGTGGCGAAGGCGCAGTCCTTGGGGACCCGGGCTTCGAAACCCTAAACCCTAAACCCTAAACCCCAAACCCTAAACCCCAAACCCCAAACCCTAAACCCTAAACTCTAAACCCTAAACCCTAAACCCTAAACCCTAAACCCTGAACCCTGAACCCTGAACCCTATAAACCCCTAAACCCTAAACCCTAAACCCTAAACCCACCTGTTTCCCTCAGGCTTTCGGGCTTTCAACTCCCCGCTCGAGGCTTTGAACAACCCTGGGCGTGAAAAGGGCGCCCTTTTTGGTTTGAAGGGGCTTCTCAGGGAACCCTAAACCCCCAAAAAGGGGAACAAGGGCCTACTCCGGGTCCTAGTATTGTAGTGCTTCCAACTTGCTTCGGCTTAAGGGTTCAGGGCTTAGGGTTTAGGGTCCAGTGTTCGCGGGCGTAAGTCTTCCAATCAAGCCTATCCCCATTTGGCGTTGAACTCCCAGTACGCCATTTTCAAGTCTGGGGCTCCCTGCTCAGAGTGGCCCTTTTGGGTTTTCGGGGTTAGGGTTTAGGGTTTAGGGTTTAGGGTTTAGGGTTGAGGGTTGAGGGTTGAGGGTTTAGGGTTGAGGGTTGAGGGTTGAGGGTTTAGGGTTTAGGGTTTAGGGTTCAGGGTTCATCCCTCTTATTCAATCAGGGCGAACCGACATCTCCTTAGTCTCCTTCAAACGTCTCAGCGCTCGCATCTTACAACGTCGGATTGAAACTTGTTGCCCAGCCCCCCAAACCCCCTAAGCCCTCGTCCCTGAAACCTAAACCCTAAACCCTCAACCCTAACCCCTAAACCCAAACTCTAAACCCTAAACCCCCGAAACCCCAAGCCCATGCTGTCCCGCGTGCGCACGTCCTGGAGCCAATGCCCAGATTACTGCACCAACTGCCACACAGGGACGCCTGCGATGTCCGTTCGTGTCATTCATCCAATCATAGCTTCGTGAGCACCAAAGTGTCATGCCATTGTAATTTGAGTGGCAGATTCGCTTTGTAAGCGTATCGACCTAGAGTAGTCTCCAGCTAGCCCCCAAGCAAACAATCAGAGCATCTCACAGATAAGAAAAACCTCAAGACTCTGTGAACGGCTTAGTCGAGCCATAGGGTCGCGGATGGTGGGAAACGGGGGGGAGAGGGGGAATGGACACGCGCTAAGCTGTTCGCAGTCTCCAACAGACCTGCTGCTTGCGTGCCTCGAGCTGCACGGAAATTCGATCTCGAAAGTTACAACGCCATTTCAAGGATTGAAAACTCGGGCCCGTGCCTAGAATACTAGGAACCCTCGGACCCTCACCCTCAGCACCCAACACTCATGAACCGCCCCATCGCAAAGTGGGTAACTGGGGGCGGGGGGGGCGGGGGGGTGGTGGGGGGTGGGGGGTGGGCTTGATTTGGGTTGAGGGTGGGGGTTCAAGGTTACCTAGCGGTTCATGGTACCTAATACCCAAGTATAACTGTCCTTGTCACCCGTTTATAACCATACTAGGATACTTGAGGGGCTTGTAAGTGGGTTACAAGTACTGTCATCATTGGGTTTAAAGTACCATGAACTTCAATGTAGGGCTATGGGTTACCCTAAACCCTAAACCCTAAACCCCAAACCCCAAACCCTAAACCCTAAACAAGGGGAGTTCAAAGGTCGCGTGATGCGCGAACGCTTCAGGACAGGCTTGGGGTCTAGGGCTTAGGGTACCTAAGAGACCCGCACTCCAAAGTGCAAGAAGATTTCCGGGCCTAGGGTCTAAACCCTAAACCCTAGACCCTAGACCCTAAACCTTAAACCTTAAACCCTAAACCCTAAACCCTAAACCCTAAACCCTCCATTGCCAACAGCCCTGTAAACCCTAAACCCTACATGAACCCTACACGGAAGCCTCCCCTTACTCACAGCCTGGGGCGCTGACGTTGGATTCGCCCGCCTGATGAACTGCAGAATTGGTGGCTTTAGGCCCTCGAGCCCTAGAGCCCTAATTAAGCCCTAAACCCTAAACCCTAAACCCTAAACCCGAAACCCTAAACCCTAAACCCTAAACCCTGAACCCTGAACCCAAAGCCGATTGCAAAGCTCTGGTTCCCACCTGAACTCAGCCTAGAACCCATGAGCGCTCCATTTGGCGACTACAATATCATTGAAATACTAGACCCAGGAGTCCTTTTTAGGGTTCAGGGTTTAGGGTTGAGGGTTTAGGGTTGAGGGCAAGACCCAGGAAAAAATCCTCGGAATAAAAGGGTGCACTTTTTGGTTTAAAGGGGCTTATGCGGGAACCTAAGCCCTTCGGAACAAGAGCCTAGCCTGGGTCCTAGATGAAGGGAAGTCCTCAAAGCATAGTCGGATCCCCGTCGCAATTTGAAGCTTTAAGGCATGTTGGACTGGGGCACGGGCATGTCCCAAGAAAAGGTACCCCAGACATACCCCCCCCCCCCCCCCCCCCCCCCCCCCCCCCCCCCCCCCCCCCCCCGGCCCCTCCCCCAAAAAAAGAAGACAAGAACAAACACGACAATTGCTACTGTAGGACCGCCAAAAAATCATACCCTAATTCGGAGCAGCTCCCATATTCGAGTTTCTGAAACGAGGGATACTAGTAGTGGGTTTCAGGGTTTCAGGAAGATTCCAAAGTCATATATTGGATCCCCACTAGCTACACTTTAAGGAACAGCCCGGTTTCCCTCCAAAACCCCAAAGCCTGAACCCCCCCCCCCTCCTCCCCCATAGAAAGGCAATCACCTCTCTGCCCACCTGCAGCTACATGCAATGCTTTGAAAGGATGAAAGTTTCACCCTACCAGGGAGGAAAGAGTTTAACCCAGCTGGGCTTTGTACAGGGCTTTTGGTTCATGATGGAGGTGGGGTTTACTGGGTAGCCCAGCAACCATATTACAATCAGGGCACCCTTTTGGGTTGTTGGTTACTTTATAAGGGAACCCAGAACCACAGAAAAGGGTGAAGGGTACCAAGCTTAACACCTTGACAACCCCTAACGCCCTAACACCCCCACACCCCAACTCCCCTTTCAACTTGGAAGCCGCGGGCTTCCGTGCAGGGTTCAGCTGGGAAGGCCTGCAAACGCCATCAGTCTAATCAGGAGTTCGTAGGCGCAAATGCCTAGACCCTAAACCCGAAACCCTGAACCCTAAACCCTGAACCCTACACCCTAAACCCTAATCACCGAGCCTCCCAGGAAATCCTGATGGTGCTCACCGATGTGGCCAGGGCCACAACGCCCGCCGGGCGCCCAGCACGGATGAGGCAAGCGGCACCTGAGAAGTGGGTGCGCTCTTCAGCCTAAGGTTGAGGGTTTAGGGTTTAGGGTTTAGGGTTTAGGGTTTAGGGTTTAGGGTTTAGGGTTTAGGGTTTAGGGTTGAGGAATGTAACTGTACTTATGTCCCAACTAGAACCATACTAGGGCACTTAAAGGGGGTTATATGTACAGATATCATTGGGTTATAACTACCATGAGGATTGGGGCGCTTTAGCTGTCGGGTTTAGTAAAGGTTTAGGGGTTTAGGATTAGGGTTTTAGGGTTTTAGGGGTTTAGGGGTTTAGGGGTTTAGGGGTTTAAGGGTTTAGGCGTTTAGGCGTTTAGGCGTTTAGGGGTTTAGCGGTTTAGGGGTTCGGGTTTAGTAAGGGTTTAGGGTGCGAGGTTTATTGGGCTTTAGACTACGTAGACAGGGATCCGCGTCTATGCTGGGGGGTGGGGGCGGGCGTCAGTCTCTCGAGAAAACGGGCCCCAAGGAAGCCAAAACGCGGTTGTTGCGGGCAGCTTCGGGGCTTGTAAGACCCGAAACCCAAACAACCCTAAACCCTAAACCATAAACCCTAAACCCTAAACCCTAAACCCTAATCCTTGTCGCGGCCTCAGAGACAAAAACGAGGGTTCATTGCAGAGCCGAGGGATAGCCAGAGGAGCCCGCAGGGTTTAGGGTTTAGGGTTTAGGGTTTATAGGGTTTAGGGTTTAGGGTTTAGGGTTTAGGGTTTAGGGTTTAGGGTTTTAGGCAATACCGTGTACTAGCCCCAGGAGTAAGCTAGGAATAAACAGGGTATGCCCTTCTTGGTTTTAAGGGGATTATAAGGGAACCCTAAACCCTAAACCCCAAACCCTAAACCCTAAACCCTAAGAAAAGGAAATAGGGCTACTCCAGGCCCAGCTTATCGTTTTAGGGTCACCCATCCAGATACCCGTCTAAAAGGGGAGTAGACAAGAATCAGAAATCCAGGTACATGTCCCCGTTTCATGCATATAAATGACTTCCGGTAATCCGTAGAGGGTTTAGGGTTTAGGATTTAGGGTTTAGGGTTTAGCCTTAATTCCCCCCCAAGTTTTGATAGCTCCAAGCACTTAAAGTGGCCTCTCCGACAGGCCTGGCGCCTCGGTGTTCGCGCATCTAGACCCGGGAGTAACCTAGGAATAAAAAGGGTACCCTTTCATAAGGGAACCTCAACCCTACAAAAAGGGAATAAGGGCCTACCCACTCTGGGTCCGAGTAGCCCGAAACTCTAAGCCTACCCCCGGTCCTAGGCATGTAGAGGCTTAAGGTTTATCGGGTTCCCACAGCCCCGAGAGGAATCAAAAAGTAGAGCCCCCAACTAGTAACCCTAAACCCTGAACCCCAAACCCCAAACCCTAACCTTTAAACCCTAAACCCTAAACCCTGCACTACGAATGGGTCATTCCTAGGAACCCTTAAGCGGGATCCTCCCAAGGGGGTCTGGGTTTGCCCCCAGTGACCTGGGATTTAAATGAGGGCTTCCTGCTTCGAATTTTAAAAAGGAACCGAGCACCCCCAAGACATGAACAAGTGCCCAATGGGAGATCTATATAAACACGCTGCAACGGCTACAGCCTTCAGGGTTTGGGGATTCGAGTTTAGGGTTCAGGGTTTAGCATTTAGGGCTTACCAGATAAAAGATGCCACCTCGCTGTGTGGTGAAGGTGGTTGCGTTGCCCACCGCCGCTGGCTGGGCGTCGCTGTTGCTGCAGACTGGAGCCACGCGGGCCTGCATTGCTAAGGTTAAACCTATTTGCTTAGGGGGCAGGTAGACTCCTAGACCCTCCAAACCCTGTCTGGGCAGGCAGTAACTAAATCCATAAACCCAAACCTTAAGCCCTAAACCCTAAGCCCGAAACCCTAAACCCGAAACCCGAAACCCTAATCCCGAAACCTGAGGCAGTATTGCGTGATCCATGGAAGCAAGCTTGCACTCCACGATAACACTTCCTCCGGTGCCACCCCCCACCCAAGCGCCCTTTAAGGTTTCGGGGATCCCAGATAGAGGGTTTAGGGTTTAGGGTTTTGGGTTTAGGGTTGGTTCAAGAACTCGCTGTTGGGATAAGGAGGGGTTTAGGGTTTGAATTTTGTTGTGGGGCGAAACAGTATGAGATAACCCTAAACCCTAAACCCTAAACCCTAAACTTTAGGGATTCATGTGGGCGCATGGCGTACGGATTAAGGGTTCATCTAGTGTTGACCATCGGGACATGCAAGCTGTTGCCTGAACCCGAGAGGAGCCTGGGCTTAAAAGGGAGCCTCAACCCCCTCTCTGGGTCCTAGTTGCAGGGGTTTTGGGTTTAGGGTTTAGGGTTTGGGGTTTGGGGTTTGGGGTTTGGGGTTCGGGGTTTAGAGTCTAGGGCTGCCTGGGCACCCTTGTTTCAAGACCTCGGAACAACTTGACACCGACACCCGAGACCCACAGCATCCGCGACCCACACCCACCCCACACCCAACCCCGCAAAACCAAAAAAACAAAATGAAATCACAGCACAATCTTCTACCCCAAGCGCTTCGCTCTTAAACCCTAAACCCTAAACCCTAAACCCTAAACCCTAAACCCTAAACCCTAAACCCTAAACCCTAAACCCTAAACCCTAACCCTAAACCCTAATCAGCTCTTCACCCTTGAAACCTGGGCCAACGAATTCCTGAAGTGCCAGAAAACCCACCGTCGGTTTTGCAGGGAATGAGGGGATGGAGCTCCTACATAATCATCCCTTTTTGTCCCTCATTCCCTGCGAACCAACCGTAAGAGAAAGGATACCTGAACACCCCCCTCCTGATAGCTGCTGCCGCAGGAGAGCCCCATGGCCAAGCAGCCTATTGCTTGGGGGGCTTCGAGTTGTGGAGTCTAGGGTTTGGGTCTAGGGTTTAGGGTTTGGGTCTAGGGTTTAGGGTTTAGGGTTTAGGGTTTAGGGTTTGGGGTTTAGGGTTTAGGGTTTAGGGTTTAGGGTTTAGGGTTTAGGGTTTAGGGTTTAGGGGTTAGGGGTTAGGGGTTAGGGGTTGGGGGTTGGGGGTTTGGGGTTCACCTTTCGGGGTTCCGGGTTCCGGGTTCAGGGCTTCGAAGACTTGTGCAACAAGAAGTCTTGAAAAAAGGCGCCCGCAAAAGGGGCCATGATCTAGAACAACCCTACACACAAGCCGTGCGCATGATGTCGTGGCTCTCCTCTACAGGGTTTGTAGATTATAGGGCTTGGGGTTGCTCCGCCAAAACCAAACCTCAACTCCAGATTTGGGCTACGAAAGCTAGACAAATGCCGGAGTAACACGCGACAAGCGCAACCGGGGGGGGGGGGGGGGGGGGGGGGGGGGGGCAAAGATTCCAAGTCGTCCCACACCACTGAGCCAAACCAGACAAACATCCTGACCCTATTAACTCTTGAGCTTCTGGACCCAACCCTCCAAAGCCCCAAATCCTCCAGTACTCGGCCATCCAGCTCGAGGTCATAAGCGATTTTCTTTCAGGCCTAACATATTGTGTAATGCACCAAACATGAGTCACGATCTCAAAGCCGGAGCATCTCCACTCGATGCCAGACCGGCATCTCCACCTGTCTTGTAGCTATGAACAAACTTCTTGACGACCGCACTCTTGAAGCTTTCGATTGAATGCCTGAGCAGCTTCAGACGGAGGGTGCTATTCTCCATGGCACCGGAGTCGGTTCAGACTGCTCCGTCGCCGGCACCGAGGACCCGATGGCTGTGAGGCAGCTCTAAGCACTGAGCTTGCTCTGCTCTGGAAATCCTTGACCCAGAATTTCTTCAGCACAACTCGACTGCACGATTCTGATCCCCGCGTTGCGCCGAAAAATGTGTGTTTTGGGCACATCTCCCACGGTTGACGGTTCCTATTGCGCAAAATCACCCCCCGCATTTCAGACCCCGATCAGCAATATGAGCTGTCACCCCCACTCCCTCCCCCCTCCCCCCGATTTGTTCCAAGCAATTTTGGGCACATGTCTCTCCCCCCCCGATTTCGACACCCACGTTGCACCGAACATGTTTGGACTGAGGGTTTAGGTGTTCCCTCTGGCCTGGAGCTAGACGTCAGCGAAGTGCGAACTCATCGCTGCTGAAAAACTGCGAAATCGGAATACCTACAGAACTTCAGGTTAACATACGAGTCAGAAAATAGCTGCGCACGGGACACATGTAACTTCCCTTGGATAGGCTTTACACAGGCCTTGTATCCCTTCCTTGACGTTACTTCAAGGTATACAAGGCCTGTGTAAAGCTTCTCTGAAGGCAAAACTCCCCTTAATTAACCCTAAACCCCAAACCCTATCCTAACGGTCCATCTACCTGACTGTAGGGCCCAAGTACATAACAAGGTACATGCAGTCTTAGGGCTACACCCGAAATCCGAAAGAACCCCCGGGTTCAAAAAGCATCTCTGGGGGCAAAAACCCCCTTGATAGCCTAAACCCGAAACCCTAAACCCGAAACCCGTAACCCTAAACCCGAAACCCTAAACCCTAAACCCTAAACCCGAAACCCGAAACCCTAAACCGTTCGTTCGCCTGCCGCTGCGGCATTGGTCAAGGCGCTGATGCAAGAGCCATTGCCTTGTCGACATCTCCGGGCTTTAGGGTTTAGGGTTTAGGGTTTAGGGTTTTTTAGGGTTTAAGGCATTCTCTAAACCCCAGAAAACCCCAAAGAACAACTTCCAAAGCAAGAGTGGGGTGCCAACTTATGGGGTGGGCTGTCTATCCGCCCTCTGAATATCCTTTGCAGGGCAGCCGCGCTTCTGCGAGGCCGTGGGCGGTTCTGCGAACTTCTCCACAAGGCAATTGTAAGCTTCCCTATAGGTTCTGCGCGGCTATGCAGGGCTCGTCGGGTTCTGCGGGGGTGTCATGGGGTGTCTGTAGTTCTGCAGGGGTCATTCAGGGGGTCGGGTAGGGCGGCCCACCCCATGAATTGGCACCCGAAAGAGACCCCACCCCTTTGCCCGCCAGTCCTGGTTTAGAGTAGGGTTTAGCAATCGGCCTCTACCCAAAGCCACGACACCCTGAACCCTTCGACTTAGTGTACTTTCGGGGTTTAGGGTTGTAGACTTAGAAACCCAAACCCTGAACCCTAAACCCTAAACCCTAAACGAGGGTTCAGGGTTTTGGGCAAGCCCCTTTGCGGTCGAAAGGCTGGGTGTCATCCAGGTCTCGGAAGCGTAGTCAAAGATCTCCGCCTCGACCGCCCGGAGGCCAAAACCCTACACCCCGCTACTATTTGCTCACGAACCCCTAACCAATGGAAACAAATGGAAAGATGTATTGTTTGTATGATAAATAAATATATATATATATATGTATACGTATGTATATATATATATATATATTCCTTATCAGGGCAATATAGGTTCTTTTTTTTTTTGGGGGGGGGGGGGTTCTTGGCAAACAGTCGCCTCAAATCCTATCGGCCTGGGTTTAGGGTGCACTATTTGGGGGGGGGGGGGTGTATACTCGGCGTCCCTTACTGTCGCAAACCTCCATTTGGGTCAAAACTCGAACGCCCCAAGGCTGCGATCCTTTCCCACAGCTGAGGGTCAATTCAGGGTTGCTTTAAGTGGCGCTGCGGCGCTCCCTTGCACTGGGTATTGCCAGTAAGGTTTCGGTGTTATACGCTTTCGCGCTGAGGACAAGTTCATCTGATTCATGGGCGCTTTTTGTTGGGTGCCTTTCTTGGTATACAAAACTACCGTACGGGTCCATGTACCTCATTGTTGTATACTGGGGCCCCAAAGTCCCTATATAGGAGGCACTTTGAGACCCAAGTACTCCCTATATATGCGCATGGACCCTTAGGGCTACAATCTCAAATTGTAAGGGCGCTGAAAAGGACCCCGACATCGCGTGGCAATTGCCGGCTCCTCGCTTTGCAACTCAACTGGTCCACCGCTGACGCCCAGCGAACGCCCCCCTAAACCCTAAACCCTAAACCCTAGACCCTAAACCCGAAACCCTAAACCCCTAAACCCCTAAACCCCTAAACCCCTAAACCCCTAAACCCCTAAACCCCTAAACCCCTAAACCCCTAAACCCCCAAACCCTAAACCCTCTCCAGCGAGATGTTCTCTGAAATAAAGGCAACATTTCTCTGCTTGTTGAGCAGCCTTTGGAAGGCTGCCAGCTTGTCGGCACGGTGCCCCTCCCCCTGGCCCAGACTGTAGACCAAGCCTGAAAGCCCAAAACCTTCTAAACTTCGATCCCACAGGCCCTGAGTACACCCGGGCCCCCCAAAGCCCCAAAGCCCCCGAAGTTCCACCAGACCTTTGGGGGGGGTAGGGGGTCGGGGGGGCTTAGGGGGGCTTCAGGGGGGCTTCAGGGGAGTTTGGGGCTTTGGGGGGTTTAGGGGTTAGGGGTTTAGGGTGGAGGGTTGGGTGTTTAGGGTGTAGGATTCAGGGATTATTGTTTAGGGTTTAGGGGTACGGCTTGTCAAGTTTAGGGATTAGGGGTTTAGTGTTTAGTGAGTTCAGGGCTTCCTTGAAGGGTTTGGGGGCTTCCGGTCCTTAACTCCCTAACCCCCTCTAAATCCCCAAAACACTCGACGCAATCCACCAAACCCCCTAAACTCCTTCAACCCGCCGAGACAGCCCAAGCCCGCCTGCCAGCCCTGAACCACGCAGTCGTTCAACGTCACGGCGCCAGGACTGACGTAGTGCTTGGTTTTAAAGCAGCACCACTGAGGGTTTTGAAGTGGTTAGGGGGTTTAGGGTTTAGGGCTTCACGGGTCTAGAGGTTTAGAACTTTAGGGCGTAGGGGTTTAGAAGTTTCGGGGTCCCGAGGTTCAGAGGTCTAGAGTTTTGGGTGCAAGGTTTACGGTTTAGGGTTTAGGGTTTAGGGTTGAGAGTTTAGGGTTTAGGGTTTAGGGTTTAGGTTCTTCCTCAGCGGGGGAAGCTGACACAAAGGCAATTGCAATGATCCTACGCCCATGCTCGACTCCATACTAGCGACTTGTACTGCAACGGGAGAATTTACTAGGCTTAGAACTCAGGGTTCAGATTTGTTGCAGTCTTCCCGGTGTGGGGAAGGGAATTATAGTGCAGGGAGGAGAGATGGTTCTGGGCTTGGGGAAATCGGGGTTTCGGATGAGTCTAAGGGATTTTTGCGAAAACCCGAAACCCTAAACCTTAAACCCTTCTTCTGTCTCTCTCGGTGCCCACATTGGCCTCCACCACCTAAGACCCTGGCGCGAAGCCGCAAACGCCAACCCAAAAACCAAAACCCGTGTCGTCCCCTGACCCTAATAATTACCCAAGGAGGGGATGATAAGGGAACCCCAACCCAAAAAAAAAAGAAAAAAAAGGAAACAAGGGCCTACTCCGGGTCCTATTTAACGCCCCCCCCCCCCACCCCCTAATTTTAAGTACCCCCCAGGATAGTTATATCATAGGGTAAGGGGGGGGGGGGGGTATTTAATATTAGGGGTATTAGGGTATTAGGGTATTAGGGTTTAGGGTTTAGGGTTTAGGGTTTAGGGTTTAGGGTTTAGGGTTTAGGGTTTAGGGTTTAACAACCCTAAACAATTTATTCAATTATGCTCGGATCTCTGCCGTTGCTTAATAGCAAAACCATCCCTTAGTTCAGGCGCATTGGAGCTTCTTTGTTTAGGGATTAGGGTTTAGGGTTTAGGGTTTAGGGTTTGGGGTTTGGGGTTTGGGGTTTGGGGTTTAGGGTTTAGGGTTAGGGTTTGGGCTCGAAACCTCCTGCCTCTGCTACACGAAAGCCCAAAACCCTCCCCCCTAAACCCCCAAAACACCCTATATAAACCCTACACCCTACACCCTACACCCTACACCCTAAACCCTAAACCCTAAACCCTAAACCCTAAACCCTTAACCCCTGGGAGCCCGTGTCTTAGCCTTGGCGGAAGAGACCAGCTCATGGCAACCTGCCCCCGTGGAAAGGGCGCGGATTCAGGGTTAGTGTTTAAGGTTTAGGGTTTAGGGTTTAGGGTTTAGGGTTTAGGGTTTAGGGTTTAAGGGTTGGGGGTTTACCGCTTGCCTTATATTGGTTGGTGGTCTCTTGAAGCAGGGTTTCTGTTTTGCAGGGGGTTCTTATTAGGGTACCTGGGGGCTCTATTAAGGTATATCGGTAGCGGTACTTGGTAGGGTGGCTGTAACTTAATTTTTGGGCTGCCTTATTCAGAAACCCAATAAACTCAAAAAGGCTAAGGGTCTAAAGTTATAGTAAAGCACCACAAAGACGGGTTGGGGATTTACCTCTTCCCAGCCAGGGAAGGCAACTCGTAAATCCAGAACAGGCGGTGGTAGTTTATGGCTTCACAGCTCTCGAGTACTTTAGAGTCTTCCTTGCTGCACTCTAGATGCGAAATAGCGCTCCCGTCTGCAGCATGACGGAAATCATCGACACTTCCGAAGAGCGCCCCGGATTAAGGTGACTATTGAGGGCATCCCCAACAGGGAGCATCACTTTGAGAACTGACCACACAGGGTTTCGGGCTAGGGGGCCCTCAAGTAGGGGTTTAAACGCTGGAATCCTAAACCCTAAACAATGACACCCCCCTTAGAACCATAATACAAGTCATTTTAATAATTATTCTTGGGTTTTAGACGACTAAAAACACACAGTCATTCCTAAGGAGACTATAGTAAGTAACAGCCCCCAGAGTCCCCCCAAGTTCCCATAAGCCCACGAAGCTGACCCCACAGGCAGGTCCAGTTGCAGCTACGGGTCGTCTGAGGGTTTAGGGTTTAGGGTTTAGGGTTCAGGGTTCAGGGTTCAGGGTTTAGGGTAACTTACTTGGTAGTCCAGTAACCATATTATAGTAAGTTCACCCTTGTTTGGGTTGGTTACTTGATTAGGGAACCCAGAACAAGAAATGCAAACGGTACCACTGAGCTACCAAGCTTATGCTAAGAGTTTCGGAGGGTTTGGGCGTCTTTAGGATAGTATACTCGGCTTCAAAGACCCTCAATCCCTAGACCTAAATCCCAGTCAAACACCCCTTGAAGACCCTGTAACCCTATCCTCTAAGCCCAAAGACCCTGTAAGGCCTCATAGGCGCCCAGGACAGAAACATTGGGTCCATCCATGCTTTCGGCGCGCCTGCCCATGCATTCAAAGTCTGTAGGGCTGGAAGGGTCCGCATTCGTCTCTGAAGGGGTGGGTTTCGGGTTTAGGGTTTAGGTTTTAGGGTTTAGGGTTTAGGGTTCTGAAAGGGTTCAACCCTTACCCTAACCCCTGAACCCCATGAGCCTTAAATCAGCTTGGTTGATGTCATGCCCGTGACATATTTTCTACAGCGTTTTAGGTCTAGAGTTTAGGGAGTTTAGGGTCGTGCCTCAAGGGTGTAACCTTGATGATATAGGGATCCCCCAAACCCAAGCCCCAGAAACCCTCTTTAAGGCTTTAAGGTTCAAGATTTAGGGTATGATCATGGGTTCCCCTACTACCCCCCTCTATACTACCCCCCTAGGTTCCCCCCATAATTCAGGCTGTTTACCGACAATAAAGCAAGGTTACTTAAGGGGGCCCTAAACCTTAAACCCTAAACCCGAAACCCTAAAAACACTTAGAGGGGGGTAGCAGGGCAGGGAAACCCATGGTATAATGGCTTGCGGTTTCGAGTCCGGGCTGAGTCCAAAGGAGGCGGGCTAGAATTTACTTTGCAAAGCAAAACACCGGACCCCCGAAACCCTGAACCCTGCTTCAAGGAGTAGGGTTTCGGGTTTAGGGTTCAGGGTTTAGGGGTTTAGGGTTGGTTCAGGGTTTAGGGTTTAGAGATCAGGGGACTTCGTAAGTGGGGCTGTAAGGGTAAGGTATCTGTACTTATAATGACTTATAAGCCCCACTATAAGGTATCTGTACTTATAATGACTTATAAGCCCAACTATAAGGTAGCTATAAACATACTTGCTAGGTGCTCCGATCCTCAAAGTAGGAAAAAGGGCAGTGCCATGAACCCCTAGCAAACAGTACTCCTAAACCCTAAACCCTAAACCCTAAACCCTAAACCCCAAACCCTAAACCCTAAACCCTAAACCCTAAACCCTAAACCCTAAACCCTAAACCCGCCATGCGCCTCGGCAGGGTGGACAGGGGCGTGGAGGCCGTCCACGGCCCATCCAGCGTTGCATTCTCACAATGCACCTGCAAGGGAAGCCCGAATCCTAAACCCTAAACCCTAAACCCTAAACCCTAAACCCTAAACCCTAGACCCTAGACCCTAGACCCTAGACCCTAGACCCTAGACCCTAAACCCAAATCCTAAGCCCAAAACATCCCTGAACCCTGCAAAAGCCCCCAGCGACTCTGTGCTTCAGCATTCCTACGGAGCTCCGGCCCCCAACGTAAAATCCCCAAAGCTACGTACCAGCAAACCCTAAACCCTAAACCCTAAACCATGAAACCTAAACCCAAACCCCTTAAACCGTACACATCCTGTACCCTGCGTCAAAGCGCTAGCATCAAACCCTAAACCCTAAACCCTGAACCCTGAACCCTAAACCCTAAACCCTAAACCCTAAACCCTAAGTTTGGGGGGTTTTGGGATAAGAGAGCCCCAGGGCCTTGGCGCGAAAAAGCACCTCGGAGTTCGAAGGAAGGCCGGAGACCGTGCAGCTGCTGTCGCCTCTTTTCTTACGCTTCGGTTTAGGGTTTAGGGTTTAGGGTTTAGGGTTTAGGGTTTAGGGTTTAGGGTTTAGGGTTTAGGGTTTAGGGTTTAGGGTTTAGGGTTTAGGGTTTTGGTTTAGGGTTTAGGGTTTAGGGTTTAGGGTTTAGGGTTTAGGGTTTAGGGTTTGGGTTTGGGGTTTGGGGTTTGGGGTTTGGGGTTTGGGGTTTGGGGTTTGGGGTTTAGGGTTTAGGGTTTAGGGTTTAGGGCTAGGGTTTAGGGCTTGCTACAGTTTAGCGTTTTGAGTTCTCGGGCTCGATAGCCAACCATAATACTGCCCCCCACTTCTTCATTCCCTACTTGGAGGATCGGGGCACTCAGTGAGTAGGGCTATAAGAGTTAGAAGTATCTGGATTGGGGTCATGAGTAATTCAAAGTATACTTACCTTACTTATAACCCCACGTACTAAGTCCCTGATCCTCTAAGTACTACACAGTGGCAGCTGAAGCTTGGGGGGATTTAAGGGCTTTTGAGGGCTCAGGGTAATTTGGGTTGTGCACAAAAACCTCAGGGTTCTGAACCCTAACACCAAAGCCCTAAGCCCTAAGCCCTCTACCCCAAACCCTGACTGTTGGGCCTGACGCTAAGGCTTAACAAGTGTAGGATGCGGGGGTTAATGGCTCCAGGGATCAGCTGCACGCACATGAGGGGTATTTCCCTATTCGAACCCTAAGCCCAAAAACCTAACCCGAAAGCGTCCCTGGCAAAGAGTCTTTAGACACGCCTAGGCCCTGCATGGCGCACGCAACCCATGCTCTGGAAAGCTCCCATGTATACGCTGACTCCAGGGAGGTGGCCCAAACTTTGGATGTTTCAGTCGCTGCCAGCCCCCACAAAAGGTGCTCACACTGTCCGTCGCACTTGCAGTCGAGTTCCAGGAACCAAGTACGATTACTGACCACCGCAGTGCTCTTTTTACGCTTGCTCCCGTACATGCACACGTGGAAGTCCGTCCAGTGGGCGGACTCCGCCAGAGACTCCAGGTCTGGATAGTGCCAGATGAGACTGTTGGAGGGGTTCTCGATGGACCAGCAAACTCCCTTGGACGTCAGGGAACGACACTCGCTGACCATCTTAGACCCTCAACCCCAATAACCCTAAACCCTACAAAAGCACACCATGAGGTTTGAACCGCGACCACCTGGTCTGAATAGGGTTTAGGGTTTCGGGTTGAGGGTTTAAGGTTAAACCCTAGATCCTAAAATCTCACAGACGCTCCCATATCCAAACCCGCAGACCGGCGGCAGCGAGTAGATTGCGTGTGAAGCCGTCAACATTCAGTGAAGGATTCAGCCTAAGCCCTAAACTCTAAGAAATATTCAACATACCTATTAAGGGGAATCCTCCCTTTCACTCCAGTATACTATACTTTCATATAGGTTAAGGGGTATGGGTTTGGGGCATGGTGAATGTTTCTTAGATAAACCGTAAGCAATGAACCCTAAGCCTAAACCTCTAAGACCAGAGCCTTGGATTTGTGCCCTTGCGCAGTAGATACAAAGGGCACGAGGGTGCCCCTACACCCCGCAAAACCTCATATCCTAAACAGCAAAACCCAAAACCTCAAATAGCCCTAAGCACCTAAACCGTGCGAAGCCCAAACAACTCCACCCTGAAGCCCCAACACCCCCTAAGCCCCAAACCCTAGACCCCCCAACCGCCCCCCTGAGCCCTACACGCGAAAATCGAAACCCCTACACCCCACATCCCAAAACCCCAAAACCCTACCCTCCCCCCTGGAACCCTAAACCCCCAAAACCCTAAAACCCTAAAACCCTAAAACCCTAAAACCCTAAAACCCTAAAACCCCAAAACCCTAAACCCTACCCTCACCCCTAAAACCCTAAAACCCTAAAACCTAAAACCCTAAAACCCTAAACCCCTAAAACCCTAAAACCCCAAAACCTTATCAAGTGAGGAGCAGTAGGCGTGCGAAGCGCCGCAGCTGGTGACAGTGGCCCAGGAGCCGCCAATGTCCTCAGTCTGTCCGCCGTGCACCCTAAACCCTAAACCCTAAACCCTAAACCCTAAACCCTAAACCCTAAACCCGGCTTTGTGTAGGGTTTGTGTAGGGTTTGTTTAGGCTTTGTGCCATCTGGTGCTCTGAGGTCAGGCAACTCGTGGGCTGTGATTGGGGGCACATCGGGCCTTTTCAAGCTTGTAGGGTTTAGGGTTTAGGGTTTAGGGTTTAGGGTTTCGGGTTTAGGGTTTAGGGTTCAGGGATGTTCCCCCTTATACTCACAGTCCTTCTTAGGGAGTATAATAGGGGGGTACTATCATCCCTATTACTTAAGGACTGTTAGCATCAGGGGGAACATATCAGCTTATAGGTCCCAAACACTAAACCACGAACTGGCAACTTGATGGCTTTAACCCAGAAACACACAAGACTCCCCTAAAGCCCCAGAGCCTCCAAACCCCTAGAAGGCCAACCCTAAACCCTAAACCCTAAACCCTAAACCCTAAATCCTAAACCCTAAACCCTAAACCCTAAACAAAGTCCCATAGCCCTGACGATGCCAGGCCACAGTGCTCTGCCACTGGAGCTCATATCCCTGGAAGCGGCAGTCCTGTGCTTTCAGGCTAGGCTGCCCAGTGGCCTAAAACCTAAAAAAAGGGAATAAGGGTACTACTGGGCACCCTAGCAGAGGCTCCAGCTATAAGGGGGTTTGGGGGCTTCTAAGGCTTTAGGGCTTGAGTTAGGGGTTGAGGGTTTAAGGGGTTAGTGGCTTAGGGTTTAGGAGTTTAGGGTTAAGGGTTTAGGGTTCAAGGGGTGGTGGTTCAGGGGGGGTTGAATTCGGGGCTTAGGGTTTTGCAGTTTCCTAAGCCGGCAGGGCCGGAGAGCGTTCAGGGCTGAGTGTTGCATATTTCAGAGGTAGACCCAAGGATTTGGAGCTTAAATTCTTCAGGGGTTACCCTAAACCCTAAACTTTAAGGTCTTCAAGGGCTCTGGGGGGCCTTAGCCCCTATAGATCCACTGGTGCGCACACGGGTTTAGTGTTTCGGGTTTGGGGTTTAGACTTCAAAGTCTTGCCATTCTTGGGTTCATTCTCCAGGGGTTTTGGGGCTAGACGTCGGTTTAACGAGCACGCAAGCCTTGCGTAAAAAAAACGAGATAGAGAAGGAGGAAGAGAGGAAATCGTGAGAAAGAGGCCGTCAAAGACCGCGAGGCAGTATGTTCGGCGGCTGTACGCTGGGTCTGCCGCGCGCTGCCTCGCGTGCTGCTTTGCATTGCGAGCAGGGGTGCGTGCCATGGGGTAGTTGCAAGGGGCCCCTCCCCCACACGCGCAGTGCGGATCTTTGCAGCCGACGTTTAGGGTGCCTAAACCCTTATCAACCCTAAACCCTAAACCCTAAACCCCTGAGCCGTGGGTTGTGCCCAAGCGCGAAGTGTTTCGGGGGTTTCGTGGGGTGTGGGGGGGGGGGGGGCTCGTTTGCAAAGTGTAGGGCCAAGATTACACGAATTATCTAACACTACTATTCGTTTTAGAACCACCCAAAGAAGATGAGAACCCCGAAAATGCGCTCGATGCAGAAGAATATATGAAAGATCATGATGCCTATATTGCCCTTATGCAGAAGAACATTTCTTTTTTTCTTTTTTTTTTTTTTTGGGGGGGGGGGGGGGGGTTCTTAAGAAAAAAGTAGAACAAGGCTGCCTCAAAACCCCTTGACAAATATTTCCAAATCTGGGAAGTTAACCCGGAAAATGGGTTGCCCCTGCACCACAGACCCTAAACAACCCCAATCCCCCAAAGCTCCAAACCCCCCAACCCCCAAGCCCCAAGCCTAGGGTGCAGAGTTTCGGGTTTATAGAGTTTAGGGATGAGGGCTAAGGGCTAAATCATCCCAAATCGCAAGCCCTAGACCCCCCAAACTTCTAAACCCTAAACCCTAAACCTTTGGAGCTCCTAAGGTTCTAAATGCCAACATCTTCAAATTCTAAACCCTGAACCTTAAACCCTAAAACCCTAAACCCAAAACTCCTAACACCTAAACCCTCATCCCGAACCCCAAACCCTAAACCCCAAAGCCTAGACCCTTGCTTTCTGCCGAAGCGGCGTTGAGAGTGGGCTGCCCCCACTGCACGAGCATGGAAGAATCTGTCGGAGATTGCGCCTCGGGGAGGGGGTCTTCGGGTTTAGGGTTTAGGGCTAGGGTTTAGGGTTTAGGGTTTAGAAATATTGGGTGTAGGGTTTAGGGTTCAGGGTTCAGGGTTTAGGGCTTAGGGCTTAGGGCACCGGGTTTCCCCTTTAGGGTTTAGGGCTTAGGGCTTGTAAAATTGTGATCTGAGATTCTATAAGGATTAGAGCATTGGGGCTTGTAGGGTGGACTGTAGGGTTCAGGGTTGTTGAGCTTTGGGGCTTCAGGACTTTAAGGTTTAGAATCTGGAGGGTTCAGGGTTTGGAATCTCAAGGTTTAGGGCTTAATTGGGGTTTAGGGTTTAGGGTTTGGCTTAGGTCTTCGGGATTAGGGTTTGGGGCTTGGGGCTTAGGCTGTGGAGCTTTGGAAGTCTTAGGGCTTTACTTCTTGGGGTTTATCGTGTTAGGGGTTGCGTTTTTGCTGAGGCTTTGAGCCTTGCTGGAGCTATGGCTTTCGGCGGTGCTCGTGCTGCTGCTGCTGCGGCTTCTGGCCCACGTTCTGCTGGGCCGATGGCAGCTCCTCGTCCGAAGAGGAGGTCTCCCGTGCAGACGCGCAGGCTCCGCGCCAAGCGCAGATCCTCTTCAAACCCTTAACCCTAAACCCTAAACCCTAAACCCTAAACCCTAAACCCTAAACCCTAAACCCTAAACCCTAAACCCCAGGGTCTTTCGCTTCGCGTGCTGTCGACGCGAGTTCGCGTCGCTGAGAAGCTGCGCCATGCAAGCTTCGCAGGCCAAGTGCAGCGCCGCCTGTTTAGGGTTTAGGGTTTAGGGTTTAGGGTTTAGGGTTTAGGGTTTAGGGTTTAGGGTTTAGGGTTTAGGGTTTAGGGTTTAGGGCTTCCGGGGGGGCCCTAGGATGGCAAACCTTCTGCAAGACTTTAAGGGTAGTTACATGGTCCCTTCATATGGGCCCTTAACCGGGGGGGGCCCTTATGTACCCTATAAAACCTAAAAACCCCTGCTTCAGAACCCTTTAGAGAAGGTAGGGGACCATATTCAGGGACCGTAGAACTACCCTTAGAAAGACGGCCATGGCGTCCCGCCCCTATGACTTGATGGCTTACCTGGAGGTTCATCGTACTTATAACCCAATCATAACTGTACTTACAACCCACTTAGAAGCCCTTTCCGTGCCCTAGTCTAGGTTTATATAATTGGGATTTAAGTACAGTTCTTATTGGGTTATTCAGTACCATGAACCTCCAAGTAGGGGTTTAAGGGCTTGGGGGGGGTTTAGGGGCTGAGGGGGTTTTATGGGTAAAGGGGGTAGAGGAAACCCTAAACCCTAAACCCTAAACCCTAAGCCCTAAACCCTAAACCCTTAGAACAGTTTAGGGGCCCTTGCGGGCGCAGCCAGAGGCCCGGAGATTGACTGGCTAACTTAGAAGATGCCCTGAACCCTAAATCCTAAACCCTAAACCCTAAACCCTAAACCCCCAACCCCAAACGCTCCTGTGACCAGCTTGTGGCCGAGCCAAGGGGCGACGACTGCATCCGGTGCTCCAGCTGCCATTGCTTCCGTCGTCCCCTGCAGGAAGGGCCACGCAAGAAGACCCTAATCCCTAAACCCTAATCCCTAAACCCTAAACCCTAAACCCGAATCCTAAACCCTAAACCCCGAGCCCTAAACCCTACCTCCTAGACCCAAAACGTAAGGGACTACAGGAGGGATCCTGATAAGGGACCTCAGGGCTTGGGCTTCTCAGGTATGCACTGGTCGACCACGAAGCTACGGATGTCACATGCGGGCAACGGCATTCAAGCATGCAGGAGTTGATAGTCCAAGAGCAGCTGCAACCACCGTGCACTCCGGGCTGCAACACCCTCAAGCCTAGACCCTATAAACCCTAACACCCTAAGCCCTGACGGTTAAACCCACGAAGCTCCCAGTCCCAGAGCCTCCCACGCAGCGCCCTGGAATCCTAGAAGCCCTCGGGGCTACACACTAAGAGCCCTAGAACCAGCAAACCCTCAGCACCCTCAAAATCCGAAACCCAAAGACCTACACCCTAAACCCTAAACCATAAACCCTAAACCCTAAACCCTAAACCCTAAACCCTAAACCAGTTTGGTTGGTTCAATGGGTTGGTCAGGTCACCTAACAGCCCTGAGGAGGGGCCTAAACTCAGAACCACAAGCCCTGAACCCGAAACCCTCCCTGTCCGGGCAGGGTTTAGGGTTTAGGGCTTGGCCTTAGGGCTGAGTGGTATGGGCTTGTTACTTGTCGTTCTAGATGCCTGCGCGGCCAGGGCATTTCTACAAAAAGTGTGGCCCAATTGGACCTTCAACGATGCCCAGCGGGTTGCAGGTTTATGGTGCGCACACAGGGCACTCACGCCCCCACTCAATGGCTCATGCATTGCGTCACTCCATGCAATTCTCAAGTAGAAGTCGCTCACTCCAGGGCATCCTGCAGCAGATTCATCATCGCCTGCTGGCCGATCTTTACACAAGTTTGTGTAGGGAAAACAAGGGGGGTTTAGGGTTTAGGGTTTAGGGTTTAGGGTTTAGGGTTTAGGGTTTAGGGTTTAGGGTTTAGGGTTTAGGGTTTAGGGTTTAGGGTTTAGGGTTTAGGGTTTGAGGGCAAAGCCTACCCCAGCGCCTGCAGGGCCACCAGCGCAGCGGTTGCTGTGTCAAGTTGGCTCCACAAGGTACGGCCGAAGAAGTTGCCCAACATACTCATTCAACTGTACACAGGCCCCTCAACTCTAAGCCCTAAAGCCCTAAAGCCCCAAACCCCAAGCCCTAACCCTAAACCCTAAACCCCCAACCCTAAACCCCAAACCCCAAAACCCTAAACCCCAAAACCCTAAACCCTCCCAGCCTGTGCGAGGCTGCTCCAGGGGGAGTCCGTGGAGTTGGCAGCGCAGCGCTCGCGGACCCTCCAAACATCCGAACCCTTCTTCGATGGACCCCTGGGGTTACCGAAAGGGCTAGGGTTTAGGGTTTAGGGTTTAGGGTTTAGGGTTTAGGGTTTAGGGTTTAGGGTTTAGGGCTTAGGGCGTAGGGTTTAGGATTTAGGGTGTAGGGTTTAGGGTTTGGGGTTTCGGGTTTCGGGTTTCGGGTTTTGGGTTCATTATATAGAAAGGGCCTGACCCTGCCCAAGCTTTCCTGGGGTTGAAGATACACATGGATACACCACTTTGGGTTGAGCGCACGGGCCTAGGGTTTAGGGGGATATTGCACGGAAAAGCACGTGTTTCCTTAGTGCATATTGCTGGAACATGTGTTTGGGGTTTGCTTAGGTAAGCAACAATAGACTTTGCACAGTCCTGTTCTGCTTTGTAAGGTGCATCCAGGGATGCCGGGCCATATGGAGGTTTCCGATCATCAGAAACCCCTAATCTAGACCTCCCAACTGGATTCCCTTACAAACAGGACCCCCAAGAAGGTGCCCCCTGATTCTGCGCAAAACCCCATGTGATGAAGGCCGAAAGCACACCTCAAAGCCCTTTCGCCATGCAGTTGTAGAAACCCTAAACCCGGAACCCTAAACCCTAAACCCTAAAACCTAAAGCCTAAACCCTAAACCCTAAACCCTACCAGCACTGCCTATGGCGTTGAGCGTTTTCGGGGGTCCCCTTGCCGGCCTGAACTCGTAGGAGGTCGCCGATGCAAGCTCTGTGACAGTGCACCTCGGTTAAGTCTAAGCCAAACTGCGTCAGAAGGGACTCAGTGGATTTTTGGGGTTTAGGGTTTAGGGTTTAGGGTTTAGGGTTTAGGGTTTAGGGCTTGGGGCTTAGGGCTTAGGGCTTGGGGTGTTTGCTGTTTTGTTGCGGGCTGCTACACCCTATCTAGGAACAAAAGCCGGCTCAGGATTCGCTTGCGGAGAGCACAGCTGTCGGGAAGTCACATGGGTTCTGGTTGACAAGGTTCAAGGGTTTAGGGTTTCGGGTTTAGGGTTTAGGGTTAGGGGTTTAGGGTTTAGGGTTAAGGTGCACAGGCTCCCACTTGGCTGAAGAATACCGGGAATAGGGCATAAGGTTTGGGGATGGTTACCCTTGTGAGGCTCCCAACAACTCACGCAGCCCTCACTTAAATCGGCCCTCAGTTGAAAGGGGCATAGGGCCAGAATATCTCCATCCCAACTCGGCCCCCTAGAATGCACCCTGAATCTTAATTCCCCTATATAACACCAGTATATTCTTTATTTGGTCCCTATATTCCTAAGGAGCCCCTAAAAAACACCCAAATAACCCCTAAGGTCCCTTGTAAGGGTCCCTCCTGTAGTCCCTTGACAGTGGCAGGGTTCTTAAGGGAGGGGGGGTTCAAGGGGGGTAGGTACCTACGGAACCTTAGGGAAGCTTAGGGAGCCTTAGGGAGTAGTGGGGAATGTCAGGGAACATTGGGTTACATTCACCCCTTGAAGCCCTAAAGCCTAAAGCCTGAAGCCTAAAGCCTAAAGCCTAAAGACTAAACCCCAAACCCTAAACCCCCCTCCGTTAAGAACCCTGCAACCCAAGCAAGAGGAAACAGGACCCGACAACTCAGAGTCTGTGAGCCCTAAAACCCAGCAAGAGTGTTGGCTCCACCCAGTCAACCCTGCATCCCAGAACCCGAAACCGTAACACCTAACATTAAACCCGAAACCCTTAAACTCTACACCCTTGAGCCCTACACCCTTAAAGCCTAAAGCCCAAGCCCTGAAACTACTACCTTAAAAACTAAACCCTGAACCCTAAACCCTAAGCCTAAAGCCTAAGCCCTGAACACTGACACCATCACCTTCAACCCTAAACCCGAAACCCTAAACCCTAAACCGTAAACCCTAAACCCTAAACCCTAAACCCTAAACCCTAAACCCTAAACCCTAAACCCTAAACCCTAAACCCTAAACCCTAAACCCTAAACCCTAAACCCTAAACCCTAAACCCTAAACCCCAAGCCCGAGACCCCGCAACCCACCTCGGACTCAGCTCGACCGGGGCGCTGCGTGGTCGAACGCGCCGGAAGTGTGTCGCAGCCTTCCGGCTCTTGGGTTTAGGGTTTGTAGGGTTTAGGGTTTAGGGTTTAGGGTTTAGGGTTTAGGGTTTAGGGTTTAGGGTTTAGGGTTTAGGGTTTAGGGTTTAGGGTTTAGGGTTTAGGGTTTAGGGTTTAGGGTTTAGGGTTTAGGCTTTAGGGTTTAGGGTTTAGGGTTTAGGGTTTAGGGTTTAGGGTAAAAGGTTTAGGGTTTGTAGGGTTTAAGATCTCTTCGTCACTTCATTGGCTTGGGCTGCGAAGATGCTTGGGGGCATCCTCGAAACCCTGCTTGGAGGTTCGGTGTACTCCCAAACCCTAAACCCTAAACCCTAAACCCTAGACCCTAAACCCTAAACCCTAAACCCTAAACCCCCGAAAGCACCTACAAGCCTGCTACGTACCGGAAGGTGTGTAGGTGCGCTATACGTACGGCTCGAATTGGGCGAGTAAGTACCATGAAGCTCCACGTAACCCTGAACTCCAAACCACAATCCCCCTCACCCCCGCCCCCCAAAGCTTCGGTTTGAAGAGGCACTGTTGGGGCCCAAGGATGAGGTCGTAGGGATGCCAGCCCTAAACCCTATCGACCCTCAACTTACGTAAGTCCTGATGTAGGTTTCAGACTTGGGCTCATACGGATTTAGGGCTCACGGCTTTGGGTTTAGGGTTTGGGGTTTGGGGTTTAGGGTTTAGGGTTTAGGGTTTAGGGTTTAGGGTTTAGGGTTTAGGGTTTAGGGTTTAGGGTTTAGGGTCCCTATGCCTAAACTCTAAGCCCCAAACCCCAAACCCTAACCCCTAAACCCTAAACCGCCCTAAACCCTAAACCCTATCACCCAACCCGTCCCTGAACCCTAAACCCTAAACCCTAAACCCTAAACCCTAAACCCCAAATCCCAAACCCCAAACCCCAAACCCTAAACCCTAAACCCTAAACCCCCGTCCCAGAACCAGCCTTGGGCAGGCAACCACACGGCCAAAGTCGGTCGCACCTGCACCTGACGTGCATTTGGGGGACCAAGGGCCTTGGGCTTACCTTGTGGGTTTAGGGTTTAGGGTTTAGGGTTTAGGGTTTAGGGTTTAGGGTTTAGGGTTTAGGGTTGTTTGTGTTAAGCTTGGGGTTTTGCTCGTGTTTTGTGGGCTTTGCGGGCAGCATCGGCGTGAGAAAACGCGTGTATTGCTCAAGTCTTCTCGGGAAAATCCTTCCGGTTGTTTTGCTGTAACGCGATATCCCTTTCTGGTTCCTTAATATACGGGCGCCATGGTGGGGATGCTCTCCCTTATACTAGAAGTCCCTAATCGGGGTTAGAATAGGGGGTACTAGAATCCCTATCAAGGACTGTTAGTATAAGGGGGAACATCCCAAGGTTCCGCCCAGGAAGCCCAAGCTTAGGTGAAAGGTCCCGGGACAGAGATCCACGCCAGCCCCAAAAGCCCTAAACCTTAGGGTTTAGGGTTTCGGGTTTAAGGTTTAGGGGAACCCTAAAAGCTAAAATTCTAAGCTGGGGCGAAGTTGGGTCTGGGATGTAGAATAAACGATCCAAACACCATAAACCCTAAAACCCCGCCCCTGTGTGCTTCTTGAACCCATGGTCCTGTCTCGAAAACATGTGGCCAGTTTTGCGAAGAGGTTATTTTTTAATACAGCAAGGACTACTGTAAGGCTTAAGGTTAAGGAATACAGGTGTGTTGGCACCCCGACAACAGGAACGCCCGAAACATAACATAGTCCCCCTGACAATGCTTAGGGTTACCCCAAACTCCCGCCCAAAAGAAAATTTCACCCCAAAACTCCGGACCCCAAACCCTAAACCCGAAGTCCTAAACCCCGAACCTCTAGATGGATCCTCGGCCGAGAGAAAAAAATGTATGAAACACCCTCAGCCCTAGCCCCTGAAGCGTAAAAACGCTCAAGAACACGGGCCCAAACTACCGCCTTACATCACGAAAAAGAATTGATTAAAATTAGGCCTGCTTAAATTAAACCCCATACCTCCACTAAACCTGAACTTCCTAAACGGCAAGGGCCTCCCAGGAAACAAACTCGCACTGCTCGGCTGCTCCTCAGCGTTCAGGGGCCGGAGCTTTGTGGGTTCGGGGCGGTTTAGGGCTTGGGGTTTAAGGCTTATAGGGTTTCGGGTTTCGGATTGAGGGTGTAGGCTTGTAGGGTTTAGTTCAAGGGGTTTAGGGTTCCGGGTTTATGCGGGTCAAGCCCCTGTTTGTAACTCGGGTTGATATTTCAAGGCCTTCCAAGCCCGATTTGAGGCCCGATTTGATCCCGTCTCTCTGCCCAGTTCACAAAACTATTTGGGGCCCCCCCCCCCCCCCCCCCCCGCGCCTCCCCCTCCCGCCCCACCCTCCCCCCGCCTTTGGAATCTCAAAGGTTTCGGCATGCACGTCGCGCTTGCTCATCGGAGCTAAAAATTGAGACATGACCGTGCAAGCAGAATTATGGAGGGTTGACAAGGATGGAGCAGGGTCTGAGCTTGTATATATGTATATATTCATCCGCCTGCGCATACATATACACAGAAGATTCGGCCCTCGGGTGTAGGGAAGAATGAAAGGGTTCACATGGATTAACAAAGGCTTCCTAGAGTTCAGGGTTCAGTGCTGGATGTTCTGTTTTTTTCTAGTCAAGCAGTTGTCAGGTGACAGATAATTTGTCCACCCGCCCACAGACTCCCCTAACGTCACGAGAACAAACAAATGTCCCACAACATTTGGACAGTTCTATCCCTACCTTCCCCATTCTCTGAACCTGTTCGGTTTTTCTTGGTTTTCAGCCAGGAATACATAGACCTAGAGCCCAATGGGCAAAGAGGCTGCTGAAATCTTTTTCGCCTGTCCACTGCAGTTTATCTCATCATGCAGCTGTCCCCAGCTGCCAGAAACCCGAGGTTCACAAGCGAGGCAGCAGCACGACACAGACTTTACATAATATTCAGGCTGAGATGATGCTTGAGTAGTCTTGGTTCAGCATATTTTTCTCTACCATTCAGCTGTTGCGAGCTCGCTTGCGGGCTGGTTCAGCCGTACCCCTCAACCCTTCCTGCTCGGCTGGCGTGAGCATGTTGAACCATTCAAAGCTCCAAGCAGTAGCACAGGCCATGGCCTGATCCTTTGTACGTTGGGTGGATTTTGCACCCGCATGGTTCTCATCCCTGAAACAGAAAGCTCTGGACATCTTCTTTGTACTTGGGTGGCGAAAACCTGGGGGAAGCTTCACTTGGCAGAATGGAGAGGAATCTGTTGGGTAGCCGAAGTACCGAGCGCAACCCGGAGCTACTTCACCATCAGGAGGAGGAGGTCGTTGCACGGGCGATGCGTGGGGTCCATCCACACGTTCCTTTCAAAAGGGATGCTTTAGAGCTTTATTAAGGACTTTTGATGTATTCGCAGCTTCACTACTGTGGCAAGGGTTGGGGGTTTTCGATGCCAAATTGAATTTTTTTGACATGAGCAAACCACCTAAGCAAAGAAGAGCTTAAAATGCTGCCAAATATGAGCTCCTTCCGCTGCATGTCGATGTCCTGTGCGATGGCATCCTCGGAAGCCCGGTCGTGGCATGGAGCAGCTTCAGCAGCTGCGGCGACTTCATCTCTGTGCTGCTCGGCAGCATTGTTGCTTGCCTCTGTCGGTGCTTCTTCCATGTTCGCCTCTGATGCTGGGTCATCTCCCATCTCTTCCATGAGGCTTATTTCTTCTTCGTCGTCTGTTTCTCCTTCAAGTTTTTCGTCGGGCTCCCTGTTGTCATCCTTACTTCGGTGAGTGGGTTTAGGGTTTAGGGTCTGGGGCCTGAACGGTAGACCCTTTTTCCAAAAACCCTAAAACCCTAAACCCTAATATGGAGTGAAAAACTTTAAGGTGGGGTTTAGGGTAGAAGACGAGGGCCCTCAACACCATCCACATATTAGAGCATGTAGGATTCTGCTGCTTTGTCAGCCTCCTTGTCAGGAAGCTCTTCCAAAATCTCGCTGATGTACTTCTCTGACTTCTTCTCATGTTCAAGGAAAAGCTTGACCCGAGACTTGTAGTCGAGCTTGCCGTGCTTCAATCCCAGCGAACTGCAGATGCTAGACAGCAGGGAGCGGGGCACTGAAAGAATGGAGTACTCGGCAACGTAGCTGGCCAGACTCATCCAACCAGACACCTGCTTCCATGCCAGCTGGTCGTGTGCCAAGCACTCCTCTGTGAGGGCCACGTGAACTTCGTGAAGGTCTCCAACGATTGTGTCTGTCCGGGGAACTTCCAAGGCCTCAAAGGTAAAGACATTCTCTGCAAACCTTTTCAATGGCCAAAGGCGTGCAGCATAAGGACCGGAGGAGAGCACGAGCGAGCGGGTGTCATCTGTGGGCTGGTGTGCACGGCAGGAAATGAAGCAATGCTCCGGAACCAGCTTGCTTGTCCACATGGATGAAAACACACTGAGAAGGACCTCCTTCCTGTCATCCTGCCTGTCCAATTCTGGCCGGATGTGCACATGATAGCAAGTGCTGAGGACCTTCATGAGGGAAAGCCTCTGCACCAGTATGTGTGGCTTTGTGTAGTTCTTATTGGTGCGATGCTTTGTGAGGCCCTCTGAGCAGATTCCCAGCTCCGTGTCTGTAGCCTTCAAGGCACTGTGCACCCGAGCTTTGATGTGTTTCTGCGACAGTGGCTGTTGCCAATCCTGGGCAGTGAGGTTCAGGACTTCGGCACCAGCTGGGCGTTTCAGGGTGGACTTGTGTGCCACAGCGTGCAGGTTGTGCGGGTTTGTCTTCTCGCTTTTGGCATGCCTTCGACCAGCATCTCTCAGATCGTTGAAGCACAATTCGGAAGGCAACGAGCAAAGTAGACTGGAAGTCCCAGGGCCAGTGAGGCCAGCCATGCATCTGCAACATTGTCGGAAGGCCTGCCCAGCGGCGGTGTCCATGGCCTCGGACTTGAAGCTGAAGGACCTGACGTTGTGAGTTTTTGTTTTGTTTTGACTGGGTTAACATGACTTACCGAATCCAGGGTTGAAATCTCTAGTCTGTGCTCATGAGGAGGCCCGTGAAACTGAGCACCACACTCCCCCTTTGTCATGATGTCTCTGTACGGTTGATAGCGGGTGAAAGAAAGAAGACCGTACAAAGCACTTTTGCTCGGGAGGACATCGACAATTTCCGTCACAAAGAGCCATTCCTTCTGCATGTCTTCCAGACAGCTTGCCCGGGCTTGCGCGTTCAGGCATGCAATGGCTCTCCAAGGAAATGAGGTGTGGTAGGCGTCCAAGGAACACAGGGAGCTCAGATGGCAAAGGGTCAAACTTGCCAGCCATGTGCGTGACTCGGGGTCGTTGTCTGCAGAACAATAGGGGATGGCTGCACCTTTAGCTGCGTCCTGTAGAGTCTTCCTTAGGCGTCACATCTAGAAGGCTTCAAAGACTGCTTGGACTGGACTATTAACCGAGCTTCGTGATGAGTCGTTGCACCCGCTTGCCAGTGGCCAAGGACAAGGCATGCTTCAAGGAGGCGCTTGAGTTGTTCTGGAAGTCTCGTGCCTTAGATGCAACATTTAGAACTGAAACTAAGAACCTTTGACCCCAGGGCCAATACTGCAGCCCAGGGGCACAGTCACACACGAACATTCTCAAGGCTCGGAACACCACAATGAAGGCCCTCATCTTGTCTTGGTTTGTGTCATCAGCCAGCACCTAGATGAACACAGGTGAGCAGCGTTTCTGTGCGAGGTCCCCTTAAATCCGCTATTTCGGGTTTGGGATTTAGGGTTCAGGGTGTCAGTGTTTAGGGTACAAGAGCAAGAAGAGCAGCTAAAGCACGTGCCATGCAGCGACCCGGGCAGAGAAGCTATCGTCACTGCCATCACTGCGGGCGGTCATCCCCCACGGGTTTCGCCCTTCACTGAAGAAGGAGAAGCAGTGAGCCATTGCTTCTGCGTGCCATACCCCGTCCAGGGCAACACTGTAGTCCCAGAAGCTGAACCAGCGACTGTCCTTGGAGGTCTCGGCCCGAAGATGTAGCCTGCCTGTTCGGGTCTTGGTTTTAGGCTGGGGTTTAGGGCTAAGGGCTGAGAATTCAGGGTTGCTGTAAAATACATTTTGTGTGCACACCGACTCACAAACTATTTTCAAACCATACGTGGCCTTGCCGGTCACGTAGCATGCTCAAAGCATCGGCTGCTGTGAAGCTGCTCTCGGCAATCCCACTCCCATTGTGCAAGCCTGCCGCATCCTTAGCCATGCCTGGTATAAACATCTGTGCAAAGTCGGCGTTGGGGTCCTTTGACAGAAGCTCGATGATGCGGTCGCGGGCATCTGAAACCAAACGGCCAAACTTTGATGTTTTGAATGGTCCCCTCGAGAAGCGAAAGAGAACCCCCAGCTTCTTAAGCAGATCTGCGGCCCCTGTGAGGCCACGAATGGCCTGGGCACATCTCCGTGCGGAGCGGTGGAAGATGTCGGGCCATAGCACAGCCCAGCAATCTGAGGCACTGAGGTGTTGCCATGCCACGAATCCCTGAGGTCATTTTGAGAAGCAGTTTCAGGGTTGAGGGTTTAGGGTTTAGGGTTAAGGAGATTTCGTGTTAGGGGCTTCATAAACCTCAGCCAGGCAAGCCTGTGTCCCTTCGTCGGCACTGAAAACCAGTCTTGTGAAGTTTTCGTGCTCATAGAAGTCCTTGCGGGATTCCAAGGCCTCTGAGTCCCAGGTAAAGAAGAAGTGTGCGTCTGACGGAAGCTGCTGCGGTAGGAGTCGCAACTCACTATTGTCGTAGACATGTCTTTCACATCCTTGTCCAGCAGGTTTCAAGGGATTCGGCGGCTTGCAGCTCTGAAGGGTGAACCCGGAAGGCATGGCTTGCTGCAGAGAGTTTGCAATCCCAGCTAGCAGGTCTTTTGTGGGCTTGCGAAACTCTCGGAAAGCAAAGGCGTTCTTGGGAAGCTGCATGCGCTGCGTGGCGTCCTGCGGCAGTCGACCCTGCAAGGCTGCAGCCAGGCTTCGTGAAGCCTCTGCAGCTTCGTCTTTGTTACACACGTTCACAGGTAGCATCTGCGTGGCTCCGGGAAAAAGACAACCGTCCAGCATAAACACCACGGACAAGACCTGTTTCGGAGGGAAAGGAAGGCAGTACAGCAAGCATCCCCCCACGTTTAAGTTTCCCCACTGCCCTCCCAGGGAGCCTTCTCAGTGGCCACTGTGGCCTCGTCAAAGCAAAAGTTCAGGCACTTCATCTCTTGACGGCTAAGAGCAGCTGCAACGTGGCTCTCTGTCTTCAGGAGAAGTCGGGCCACAAACTCAGCGGCTGTCTTGGTAGCCAGATTCGAGTTCTCAGCCACGAGTTCTAGCTCCGAAAGGCACCTTTCGTCCTTCAAAGACACGTAGCCTGTACCCCGGCAGAGGAAGCGGCTTACCATGTTCATGCGAAGCGACCTGTTGCCCTTCCTGCGTGACACAGCCATGTACGGATGATACTTGTGAGCAATGTTGGGGTCCGGGCATTGTTCTGTGGTTGCCGTTTCCAGACTCTCTTCTGCACGTTGCGCAAAAACGTGCAGGACACGTTTTGTCAGGCGACGGAAACCAAGGGAGTTCCAGAAATCCTTATCGGATCTCATCCTCAGGCACGTGACAAGGAAGGTGCTGAGCGGCATTGTGGCATTTGTGTCTTTGCCAGGGATTTTTTTTGCAAACCTGGCGGGCAGAAATAAAGACAAACTTCGTCAGGGAAAGATGCAGAAGTTTACAGCCCCAACAAAAAAAATCTCACCGAAATAGACAGGAAATTCCTCAGCGAAATAGCAGAAAGAATCCTCAGCCGAACCCTAAACCCGAAATTTTAAGGGGAAGCCCTAAATTGAACCTTAATCCCAAAACGGAAACAAACGGGAGACCTCAACCGCCCCAGGTAAGGCCTTGCCCAACTGAGACCAAGCTCGTGCAGTGCTGCTTTCAGTGCTGGCACAGGCATCAGGTTCTCTTGCACCTGAACACAGAAGACTCGGGCGTGGGGCAGCAGGGGAATGGAGTCATTGATGCTCATGTGTTCTTCGAATGTTTGCAGGACCCCCAAACACTCCATCAGAGCATCAGGTCCCAGGCTTGCTGTGGGAAGCAATGTGGCCAGAGTGACAAGTATCCCCAGGACTGTGCAGCAGTCCACTGGCAGGGAAGTCAATCCGGCGATGTGGCCTTTGTAGGTTGGTCTGCGTGCCACCTTGGGAACAAAAGAAAGAAAGATCTCAGAGACGGCCTCAGAAAAAAGAGAGAGATAGAGAGAGAGAGAGACTGAAAGTGAGGATGAGAGTGAGAGAGAAAATGAGAGTGAGACTGAGAGCGAGAGAGAATCCAAAACGGGATCAGCAATTGGTGGAGTCAAAGAAAGATGTCGATCTAAGATACCCACATGCCGAGTTCCCACTTCCAGCAAGTGTGCCAGAGGCAAGTAGTTGCCGGCATGGTTCTTTGTGAAGTACTGCGTATATGGAGTGCGAAGAGAATACCATTCTGCTGTGGAAATAAAGTGCCGATACCCATCAACGGCGTCATTGTTCTCAACCTGTCCCACGTGCAAAAACAGAAATGCTACGTACGTGAAGAGGAGAAATCAGCGTTGTGCCAGAACCCGGCCTGCAAGACAGTCCAGACACCACGTCTGTTCGAAAGAAATCTGAAGACATGACCTGGACAATCCCGATCTACACCTGGGCTTCGCTTTTCAGGGGAGGTTTCGGCGTCGTCATCATCCTCCAAGGCAGGCGAGGGCTGCTCCGGAAGGCTTTCCAGACTGGGCTTCGGGGCGAAGGGCGTGTCAGGACCGTACATCTGCACAAGCTGCTCATGCTGTTTCTCAAACTCTTTGAGATTACTATGCCATGCGGCATCCCGATGACTCGGGGCCACGTCAGCGTATGTCTTCCATGCCTCAGCCACCTTCTTTCTGACAGACAACAATGCTATGCAGCGAGAGCCGTTCTCATCTTCCAGCGGGACCTTTTCCAGCAGAGCCCGAATCTCGCCGAGCCAATCCTGGAGTTTAAGGTGTTAGTGTTTAGGGTGAGGGGTTCAGGCCTTGAGGTTGAAGGCCTAGGGTGTAGGGTTTAGGGTTTAGGATTTAGGGTTTAGGGTTTAGGGCTTGGGGTTTAGGGTTTAGGGCTACCCCCAAACCCACCTCCAGGATCATTCTGGCCACACCGTTTCCCCCGGCACGGCCCCGGAGCGCTCAGGAGGCGCACTATGGCAAAAAGAAGGCCAGTAGGTTGAGTTGGAATCTTCAGTTTTACAGTGCGTACATCCCACCTTTCCCATTCTGGCCCGTATCCTTCTGGCCTTATTTTTGGCTCTGCGAGCAACAGAACTGCTCCTGTAGCCCCAGTAGGATTCCCGTTAGCGAGAACGTTGCCTGCTAGCGAGAACGTTGCCTGCTAGCGAGAACGTTGCCTGCTACCGAGAACGTTGCGTGCTAGCGAGAACGTTTCTGCCCGGGAGAACGGTTCTGGCCTGGAGCCAGCAGCAGGAGGACAGCACAAGAGCAACTTTCAAGCAAGAATGCTTCAAACAAAGAGCACGTGCACCTTTCAGAGCACAAAGCTGAGATCAACAAATTTCTACCTGGCATTCTCTGTCCCTTAGTCCATGGTGTGAAGATTGTGTACAAAAGGCCGATGCAGGCGAACAGCCCAACGACTCAAAGCCTCATAGTCGTAGAGCAGTAGGTCATCTCCACGACGATCTTCGACGAAGATATGCACTCCTTCATCCAAGTAGTTCTTGTCCCCGACTTGTGCTGTGGCCAGAAAGAGAAACATGGCCCCAGGCCAGGCTTCCAGATAAGACCAAGTCCTCTGACACTGCACTTCAAGCTGCCGCCACCAGGTTGCATGCCGACTGGAAAGAATCGGCACGGCAGAGGCCGAAACTATGGGCCCCACCTCCGAACAGGAACGAGCAATTTTGTTGGAGCAGGACTTCATGGGAAACACGGTGAGGCTGCAAGGACAAGAAGGCTACGTAAATGCTGCAGCGAAAACCAGGAGATCAAAAAACATGTCCGTGTTCCTGTTCAATCAAGGGCAGGTAAAATCAATGGAGACAGCATCTTTCCTTCAGGAGCATGTGCACACGTGGTGTCTTGCGATGGCGTCTGCGTCAGGTGCCCCACCTACAGCAGCGTGACAAAACCAAGGCAAATGGGCTGCGAGGCCCAAGGACTCCAGAGGAGATTCACTCGGAGTCGGACGGAAACTGAACATCCTTAGCGTCAGTGCCCTCAGCGGCTCCATGAGCTGCCTTCTCCTGGACTGGCGGGGTTCCTGCGGGTGGAGAACTGGTCTCTTCAGGCGACTTCTGAGGGGTCTTCTGAGGGGTTCCATCATCACTCGGGAAGAGGCTGCGAGAAAGAAGACGACCAGCACGATCACGATGCGTGTCCTGCAAAGCTGTAGAGGGTTGCGGTTTTGAGCGCCTAAGGTCCGTTTAAGCTTGCGTGACACACACTGGAACATACCCATGCAGTCCAGGTCTTTGGCCATGTCTTTAAGCATGCGGTGCATGCTTTTGCGACCCACCCAACTCATGGCCGACAAAACAGAGCGGGCTCCATCACCCATGGCATCCACACTCCAGCCGTCACGGAGTGCATCAAGGAAACACCGAATGCTGTCCTGAGGAGACGGATGGGGGTGATGGGGCAAAGGCGTCTCTGACAGCCCAACCCAACAAGCGTGAGCCAATTCCTGAGTTCAGAACAATGCCATCTTTCTCCAGCAGGTCCCAAAACAGGATGCGGTCGCCCTCCTGGGCAAAGTACATGGCCATCTCATCCTTGAGGAAGGTTTGGATGGCCTTGGCATCATCCTTTTCCTTGTCCCCACCCTCAGGACCCAGCAAGTCAGGCTTGCTTCTCTTGCCCCCCTTTCGAGCGAAGCGGGCGGAGAGGAGATCATCATCATTGGAAATCTGCCACTCCTTGTTGTTGGACGTTTGGTCTCTCCATGAGCCACGTGTTGTGGGAGCCTGCAGCAGAGCAGAAACAAAAACAGGTATGCACTAAACATCAAGAGCACATGCCCAGCCCTGCGTGCGCCTGAGTGCCTAAGTCCGACTTACTCGATGTACGTCGCACAGGCTTGCGTGTTGAAGGCGTTTTGTGCTCAGCATCGTCACTGCCATCTTCGTCAGATGATGGCAGCGATGCCTGACTACTGCGGCGTCGTACTGAGCCTGACAGAGCCTTACTTTTCTCGTCCTGCATATCTCCAGCAGCCTCGTGCTGCAACTTCTGCAGCATGTCCTTTGCCTCTTTCTGCCAGGACAGTGACGTGTCCGACTGGTTGCGTGTCTCCACTTCGCTCTCCAGGGTCCTTCTTTACATTTACATGTACACATGAACGGAACTACACGAGAGTGAACATGCCAGCTTAGTCCGATAGGTCCTGCGTATACTGGCAACCGTTTTGTGCTGAGAGATGACCGTCAGCGAATGCAGCTCCGTGCCTCGATGCGTTTTTTTTAGGGGCTGCTCGGCCTCCACAAGGAACTCGGGAGTCGCAAAACCCTAAAACCCTAAAACCCAAAAGCCCTAAACCCTAAACCCCCAAACCCTAAACCCCTAAAGCCCTAAACCCTAAACCCTACCGACTCAGCACCTCAGGTCTACCTCGGTAGTGGTGCCGACAGGTTTAGACCTTCAGGCTGGAGGGTTTAGCTGCTTGGGCTTTAGGGTTTGGGGTTTAGGGTTGAGGGTTGAGAGCTTTGTGTTAGGATTTAGTATTCGGAGTGTGTTTTTGGCGGGGGAGGCTTCTTGGGGCTTAGGGTGCTTCTGAGCTGTTCTTGTCTTGGCCCCCTTGAACCCTTCATCATTGACAAACCTTTCATGGTGGGCAAAATGGAAAATCGTTCAGCAGCCAAGCACTAGAACCCTTAACTTAACAGGTCTAAAGACTTTAGGGTTTAGGGTTTAGTCTAAGTGCAAGGAGCGGGAATAACAGAGGGAAAGACCCTAAACCCTAAACCCTAAACCCTAAACCCTAAACCCTAAACCCTAAACCCTAACTAAACCCTAAACCCTAAGCCCTAAACCCTAAACCCTAAACCCTAAACCCTAAACCCTAAACCCTAAACCCCTAAACCCTTAAACCCTTAAACCCTTAAACCCTTAAACCCTTAAACCCTTAAACCCTTAAACCCTTAAACCCTTAAACCCTTAAACCCTTAAACCCTTAAACCCTAAACCCTAAACCCTAAACGCTAAACCCTAAACCCCCCCCAAAGGCACAAAGTAGATGGCTTGCTACAAGGCACACTTCTCGATGAGCTTGAGCAGGCGTTCTCGCCATTGAGTCTCGGCTTGACTCTCGGCCTGCGTCAGTTGCACCTTGAGCTTGAGCGAGTCCGGGCAGTTGGCGTCGAGATTGCTCTGTTGCTTGGCACGTTTGCGAAGCTGCCAGGGAAACAGAGATGAAATGATGAGGTTGAGAAACTGAAAACACGAAGAGCAAGCAGCAAACTGTAGAACATCTCCCCTAACAGCCTCCAGCAGCTCCCCACCAACTCTCATGAGTGCATTCTCTGTGAACCCGGGCACAAGTCGAGCCAAGCATGTGGCAAGCAACCACGGTGAGAGATCTGACAATCTCGTGGCCCGAGCACTCGAAAGCCGAAGATGCTTCACAGTCCTGTAGTTGGAGAGGAAGCTAAAAATAGTCCAAACAAACAGAAAGGGAACTGAGTGCAACAATAAATTGAGGCAGGGCGCAGACCGAAAGCAACAGCAATGGCTGTGACAGCTTGCATGTCTGGGGACTCATCTTTCGACGGGGAAGATGAGCCGGAACTCCGGCGTCGACGACGATCCTTCTGAGACTTCTTCGCCTTGTGACTTGACCTCTTGGCAGCCATGGCCAGCAACAGAAAACTTCAATTTGCCTCCCAGGCCAATCACAGATGACAGCACGTTGTGAGGCTGCGATCCATCAGGACACGTCATATTGTAAAGGTTTGCTTTCCGAGATGGGGTGCCAAACATGACACTCAAGCAAGCCAAAGTGCCACAAGATGCAGGCACTGCATGCTGACAAGCCGATTTTCGCAAGTAGCTGAGGGTAGCCTCTTCGGGCCCGGGGGTCTCAGCTCTAGGTTGCAAGATGCCAGCTGACCACTCTGGGAACAGCTTTGCAAGAACAGCCAAGGCGGGAACCCAATTGAACATCCACAAAATCGCTTGGCCTCAGCTTGTGCCTTCTGGCTGCAAGCCACAGCAACAGCACTCCTGTAAAGCCAACAATCAAGTAGTTCCAGCAGAGATGCCACAATGAAGAGGCAGCCAAGGAGAGATCACTCCTAGGGCAGGAATACTTATGGGCTTCGGCTATTTTGGGATAGAAGTCCGTTTGAGTCCTGCGAGTAGCCATCATGGTTCACAGCAGCCTGGGCCAGGTGAAGAACGAATTGTTTGGGACTCTACGAAAATTAGACGTGAGGAGCAGTTTTTTTTGCGATTGACCTTAAGAAGCCCAGAACCGAGGCCTCAGAGCCACCGACAGCATTGCGAGCGGGAGGCTCGTCTCCTGGAACAGCGAATTGTCCAGAGCAAAATCTTGTTAAAGAAAGAAAGATGAGTGCCTAGACCTAGACCTTTCACAGCCTGTGCCAAGCCCCACAAATTTGAGGGCCCAAGTCAAACGATAATGTTGCATCGCATCATCTACAGGTTCTGTCCTCCATCGTCAGACGTGTTGGGGTCCACTGGCTGCCAGCCTGGGAAGGAATGGAAGCCCCTACAAGAGGGGCATGACTAGTATCAACACTCAAAGACAATGAGAGGT